TAACCACTCGGATTAAATACCACTTATACAGTATCTGTCCGAGGGCCTTAGGTCCCGAGGGTTAATACATTATATTACCCAAGAGATACTGCAAATATCCTGAACCGACTTTAGGATGATCTGTTTATCTCATACCATTCTTGGGCATTTGGTTCACATTGTTCAATTGGCCAAATTTCAGAAAATTTCCACCCAACCGTGGAATAATTTTAGAATATTAATGTCCAGTTTTGATTTCTTGGCCATGGCCGGCCATGTTTTCCCGTTCTTTCAGATATCCATCCACATTTATTACCTCGATTATTAACAGGGATTTTCTCCATTGTCGTTTACAGTTATTATGCGAACGTTACAAAAGATGAACCAATATGCGAACGGCGACACATCCAAGTATGGGATACAAATATATATTGTATAGTATAAATAGTCTCATAACGAATAACAAACTAAGTCAAATGGCTAGTATTGAATGACCCCTGTTACACAGGACGGTTGGAATGCTTCGTTACGAAGCATTTTGACAAAAAAAATTTAGGCCAGTGTAACACCTCCGCCTTCGTTAGAAAAGCTTAGTTCACAACGAAGCAATTTAGTAGGAAATTCAACGAAGGTTAGATCCCAACGAAGCTATTTTTGCCAGTGTAACAGGTACCTTCGTTAGAAAATGCTTAGTTGGCGGTTTGCGCATGAGCGTAATAAAGAGCACATTCATAATTTTGTGTTAAATGAGAGGAATCGCAAGGAAATAACATGTTTATAAGTACGTATTATTATAATGCTACGTATTGCTTAAAATAATTACCTATTTGCGTTACTGATTGACGTTAACTCAAGCCCTAAACGCAACGTAAATGTAATTTTCCGTCTTTCGTAGCATTTCATTCTGATTCCCTGCCTTTCCTCGCATTGATATAACGCAAAGTATTAAATCTAAAAATCAGGTATTGATACTATGAAACTATTGGTTCCCGGTGAATCACATCGGGGAATTTAGCTGATTTAAGTTATACGAAAATGATATGAAACAACTGTTATTCAAGTTTCTTCCCATTTGCGTCATTTTCGAATTCAACTGACGGCTGATGGATTCACATACTATTTTATGGCCAACTCAATCAAATATGAATGGTATAGTACCGGGTAATATTCATATGAAAAATGAATTGGTCATGAAATAGTAAGTTAAACCGCCAGCCGAAAACCGAGATATTTAATAATGGCTACACTATTTGAATCACGCCATATCATGGTATAACTAAGAAGACCATTCGTTTTTATACATCGACCAATGCGATATTACATACTAGCCCTCTGTATAAACCCCATATCCAATCCCTCATAGTAATCAACCTCTACTTATGCCATATGTTTCCCAAGAAAAATGATAGAAGAATGAAAAGAATACTTGTAATCGTACGCGTATTGACTGAAATATAAAAAATCGTAGTGGTAGGAAAAAATGTATGGACATGTGTACTGAATGATCACATTCATCTGGTTTTATTTTCCCGAGAATTTTAACTAGTCATTTTTTGTGCAAAGTTTAAAAGTTTAAAATATGATCATTGATTTACATCAAAAGAATAAACATATTAATGAATAAGTGGACGGGGCAGATGAGCAATGCGCACGCGCAACGAAGTATTTTAAGAGCAGTGTAACACCAAACAATTGCTTCGTTAGGGTCGGATAAATCCAGTGTGGACACAATTTTTTCGCTAACCTTCGTTTCAAAAATGCTTCGTTAGTCTCAACCCAGCAGTGTAACAGGTACCAATGATGTCAAGGTCACTGGCATTGCACTCTTCAAACTATGTTTGAAAAATGTACACGTTAACAAATAGCCTAGTCCAGAAGACGACAGAATCATCGATATAATACCTCACTATTCTAACTTAAACTGACCAGGGTTAAAACTGCAGAAGTTATGTTTACGTAGCAAAAGCTAGATAATCTGGAGGTTTGCACAACTTTTCTAAGATCGACGTTTCTAAAATCCATGACGCATTCACCAGACTTCTCGAGGTCACAAATATATTTTAATAAGAATTATTCACACCAATGCATAGCATTCTTCCTCACATGCTTTCTGCCGAAAAAATAAGAACATTGATTCTTAAATAAGCTAGAAATGAACCCATTCATGCATGAAAATAGTTCAGAGAAAAATGAATATCACAAATCAAGTTCTCATAGAAGTCAATGGTACAATAATATTCAAAACATATTCTCCCTTTCGACATTGCTTTATCTTTAGTTAAGCATATTCATGGTGATCCAGTCGATTACGCTGGTTACCGAAACGGTTCTTTTTGGTAACAAAATGTCGGAACGTCGAAGGTTCGATTTTTCTTTTTTCCTTATGAATATGCTTAACTAAAGATTTCATGGCTACCTACAGTATGTTGAATTTTGATTCTAAACTGAGCTCCACATGTCTTGTGCTTCTTAATTTGCGCGTCTCATTGTATCTCACATAACATTTTTAGCTGGCTGAGCAAACCAGACAAGACAAGACAATCGGAAACATCGATCCATATGATGCTGAAATGCGACCTGTACTTCAACATCATGGAATTCCTCTCATCTTTTAAACACTTGGTTCCACATGACGCGCGAAATCATCAACTTAACATTAATTTTATTTTTACAGCAGTTCATGAAAATATACTTTATCTATTACAATTGAACATAATACAAATGATATAGCTGCATCTGCTAGTATTGTGTATTATATTATTGTATTGCCGAGTTTTTGCAATAACCCAGATGCGAGTAGAAATAATCTTGATTTACGTCATTAAAAATTCAAAATTCAGTCAAAGTAATATCCTATTTGAAATCTACATGTAAAATTACATCTAGAAATGTGGTTTTAAAAAGTGTTTATCAACTTTGAAAAATTAATTTTCTTTGAAACTGTGACTTCTAGCTCGGGGAGATTCCCCATAGACCCCATGCTATAAAATCACAAAAAATGAAATATGTTTTCTTTTAGTAGACAGATAATATTTTGCTTTAGTGGACATATTTTCATTAGTATAAGTATCAGACGCATAAGGGTTATATGAAAATTGAGCCTCTTAAATTGATAATATTCAATTTTAAGGGAACTTTCTTATATACCTGCCATGTTAATTGACCCGAATCAGCCATCTGGTGGTGAAACTGGTAACTACCTACTCGCATTTGGGTAATTGGATGCTGCTATTTCCAGATAAGGTCCCTGCTTCACATGAATAACATCCGTTCATTTTAGCTTAGGTCAGTCTAACAGCCACTTGGTCGCTGCACAATTTTGTCATCGGTCATCTTCATGAGAGGGGGTTGACATTAGGCCATCTGGCTCAGGGAATTATTGTATGGGAGTCATCACCTAAAGTCCGTAGTATTTTTGGTACTTTTTTTATGATGGCCTAAACATACGTATATGTGCCTCTTGCACTGGTGAAACTTATCATAATAACATAGTGACGCGAGACTTTCAAAGAATTGATAGTTGATGATGAAAGAGAGTCGTAAATAACAATGATATTACATAATATTAAAAGAGTCGCACATGTACATGTTTAGTTGTCACAATAATAACAATAACAATGATATATGATATACATGTGCTTTGCAGAGTATCAATAATTATTATATCTATTACGTTGGCTACAATCGTGGCAGATTTGCAGAGTAAAATCGGGCTTCACTCCATTTTGGAGAGACACTTGCTCCTGATTTCAGCGGGACCTCCTCATGTTTTCAGCGGGGCCTCCTCATGTTTTCAGCGGGATCTTTAGTTTATTGCTCATGTTAGAAGCGGGGCCTTGAGGGATATGGTAAAATGGAAATATATAAATTTTGGTGAAGCTTTAGGAAGTGAAACTCAGTATACCTTTATTTCATATCACTATGAACATTTCAACTGAAGGGCAACGACCTTCTTCAGCTATAAAATATAGAAATATATAGATAAAGATTTAAGATGATACATTCTCTCTCCAATTATCAAATAACGAAATACAGAACATCAGATCGTGATGCTTGTTTTGCAGCAGTTGCTTTTAAGTATCACTCCCATGTAATTATTGAATAAAATTAAATGAAAACGCTTTGTACAACATACAATTTAAGTAAACAAAAGATACCCCTTCATTTCTTTTAATTGCTCGCGATTTCAGCGGGAACTTGCTCGCGATTTCTAAATCATGGCGGGGCTTCAGATACTACCCGTGAATTAGTTACAAGTTTCTTAGAACACTTCCAACTACTGTCTGAACCGATAAGCTGGCTAGCCTGCACGGCAAGCGCTCCTGGGCCACCGGTATCTTTACCTGGAATGAATAATGTAAACGTAAGTAATTTATTAAAATATCTAACTAGGTCGGTAAAATCATCGTTAAATATCCCAGATGGACCGGTTGTTAGCCCTATCGGCAAAAGTATTGTTATGTAACATTATGTAATTTATAATAAAATTATGTCATCATATTATATAGCCAACAACAAACCTACTTAGTTGTGTTTCTCTTAACTTTTGCCTATCAAAGAGCGCAAGTACCCAGAACACTACAGCTTCATAAATACAATAATTCAAATATGAGAGTTTCATTTTCAATCAATAGGCACTGATAAAAGTGTGACTTTTGGGTTTAAGTTCATATCATCATTCATTCATGCATTTTATACTGTGTACTATTCAATTAAATTCATTTTCAATTTATTCAAGTATACTCTTACAAAACATGAAAAATTGTATTTAAGGTATAACAAAATAGAAAATCTGATGATTTCAGTATGATAAAATGTCCCTTGGTCCTATGGTCCTGAATTGTGATATTTGCTGTTGAGTTGAGGAGAAAGGAAGTAGTAGATATTATTTATTTTCAAGAGATCATGGTTTTGGAATAAGCGAGGGTATATTTTTCTTATGACAAGTTTACAGCTAGAGTCTTGGTAAATTAATAGAAATCACATAAATGTACTTACAAACGATTGCAATAACTTTCGTATAGCCTTCTAGAAGCTTCACATAAACACGCGTCCAATCCAATCCACTTCCTAAATCTGCCCCATCGGCGTAAAACCTGTGTTCGTCATCGCATACTAGGTATACATTCAAACCTTCCTCTGTATAAAAGATAGTTCACCCTTGTAACCCATTATGTAGTATCCAGCATTATCGTTATTGAATTATAACATATTTACCCATGGAGAATAAGTATTAAAAAATCTTCCAAATATAGAAAAGAGCACCTAATGCAATAATTAGAAATTGCATAGAAAACATCTGTAGTGTGTTACAATGACATCCTGGATATGGACTAGCAGGAACAAACCACGCGTCTCTAGCTCATTCTTTAATTACTTTTCTTCAATTCATAATATTTCTCCAGAAAATAAACATTTCTAGCTTCAACTTTTTTTAACCAATATTTTATTTTCATTTATTTTAATTACAGCTTTTTAAACATGAAGAAATCTTCTTTTCAAAAATTGGGAATGTTAATATAATATTCGCTCTTTGGAACATATTGCAGGTAATATTTGCTATTCAAAACAAGGTTTTTTTCAATTTTATTCCTTAATAATTCACTCTACCAGTGAGAAGGAAGCAAATCATTATGATAATAAAAGCCAACCCCTTCATATTAAAACAGCTGTAAATAAAGTAAGAAAATAGAGGGTTTTAACAAATGTTTAAGAAGTCCCTTTACGTATACTCTGTAAGAATCACTTGAAAAGTATGTACATGTTGTAACATAATTTGGAAAAGGAAAAGCATGTCTTGCTCTAACACGGCAACTATGATATATTCAAAACGATTAAACTTAGAACTTTTATCTATGAGTAAAGTGCGTACTTGTTTCGCAAAATATTCCACCGAATCCGGGAGGGCAGCTGCATGTGAAATATCCAGGTAGGTTATTGCAAGTGCCTCCATTCTGGCAAGGGTTGCTCAAACATTCATCTCGGTCTAGAAAAAAGAATATTTCAAGAATATTTCTCTTTTACCTGTCACCAGTCTTTTAAATGGTAACAAATTAATTTGTTCTTGATATTATATGTTCGGAAGAAAATGGAACATCTATCCGAACCCCATTGGAACAAAATGGCATATACACAACGTGTTTAGGTCTCTCAATATTGTGATTGTACAAAGGAAAGTTTGGTTCATTCAAAAAAAGTATCTTGTTTATGAAATAAAAGGTTTACTTTAATTTTTAGCTACTTTTGGGGTTTTGTTTTAATTTTTAGATACTTTTTGTTAAATGATCCAAATTTTCCTCTGTGTAAGAAAATATTGAGAGGTCTAAGAAAATGTCTTAACGGTTGTTCGAAAGCAAATCTTAAATATCCTCAATCCTATGTCTAAGACCCCCTCTCCCAACTTAGAAAGTACATACCTATTGGTTGTTTACACATTGTGTTATAAGACGTCCCCGTCTCACAATCCACATCTTCCCATTTGTAATCATTGCCTTTCTTGAATATACCACATTGTTTATCCGGGCTACTAGGCTGGCCGACAGCCCAGTCAGTGAAGGTGACACGTTCCTGAGAGAACCAATAGCGATACTCATTCACATCAGGGAGGTATTGGTCAGTACCTGCACGACAAAGTGAATATTAAATGATTCACAAGGTTATTCTGATTTCACAAAACTGACAAAACCGACGAGGAACGTACATTTGCGTATATAATATTGATCGAAGATTCGAAGTCTAAACATAGATCTCGAAAAAGAAGTGTTCATTAATATGGATAGAAACTAGTAAATTAAGATAATTTGGATTTCTATGTATTTTTGTAACTCAGCAGTAAATAGCTGCTGCTGAACAGATTGGATTGATGACATACACAGTACGAACTAGTCCACTTTTGTCAGATGATTATTCAATGTCGAGAAAACTCTACATTCTGATAAAAATATATATTATTATTTTGAGACCCTATCTGTTGCAAGACTAACGCCTGGCGTAACCGTCACCATGTTATTCAGTGTTTTTTAAGTAGCGCAAGGATCCTGCCATGACCGTGGTAATGTTATCGTGAAAGCCTGGTATAACCGCGACAATGCAGTATTATATTGCAATGCCTGCCATGACCGTGACAATGTAATATAGTTCTGCAAGGCTTGGTATGACCGTAACAATGTAATATAGTACTGCAAAGCCTGGCATGACCGTGACAATGTAATATAGTATTGCAAGTTCAGGTATGAGAGTGGTAATGTAGAAATTTACGATTAGGACTGCTATAACCGTGACAATGTGTATTGCAAAGCCTGGCATGACCATGCCAATGTAATATAGTATTGCAAGGCTTAGTATGACCGCCATGGCAATGTGATATAGTATTCCAAGTTCGGGTATGAGAGTGGTGATGTAGAAATTTATGATTGCTATAATTGACCGTAACAATGTGTATTTGAAAACCTGGCATGACCATGACAATGTATTATGGGATCGCAAAGCCTGGTATGACCGTGACAATGTAATATAGTATTGCAAGGCCAGGTATGAGGGTGGTAATGTAGAGATTTAGGCTTAGTTCTACTATGACCGTTATAATGTATTGCAATGACTAACAATTTTAAGTGATCCTCATTACAATTAAACAGTTTAATACTATGATCATGGTGTTTAACTACCTTAATCATGTCAAAATCAAAATTACTACTATACATTAATATTCACATTCGGTTATAAACCACAATAAAGGCTACGGTCGCGCCAGGGCTTCCACGATAACACTTCCAGGGTCATGACAGGCCTTGCAATAGAATACAACATTGTCACGGTTATACCAGCCTGTCACGGTTATACCAGGCTTACACGATAACACTACCACGGTCATGGCAGGATCCTTGCGCTACTTAAAAAACACTGATTAACATGGTGACGGTTGTGGCAGGCGTAAGTCTTGCAATAGATAGCATGTGATTATTTCCTGTTATGAATGAACTATTAGTACTGGGTTTTAGGAGGAATATTGTAGCCGAGGTTTTATCTTTCAAGATACATTGACTTGTGAACATGCAAAAACATATTTGCTTTTTAAACGTGTAATATTACAATAATATTAATACTCTCACCCATCCACCAGTCTCCTAGGTTTAAAGTTGTTAAGTAGTGCTTCAGCCAAGTCCAGTCCGCGCTATCCATAACATCGACTATTGAAGCAATGTAACCTGTGCAATGCTTTTTGCCAGGTATATGCGTCCTCTTTCCAGTGGGAATGTAGCAATAGTTGTATTTTTGCTTACCCGATGATGGACAATTGTCATATACATCTGAAATACATGATTCAAAAATTCCAGTATATGTTGTTTAGAGAGTAGATAGGCAATAGCCTAGCACACGGACGTAGCAAGGCATGAGGGGGGGAGGCGCCAAGGTTTTACAGAAATATATTTATTCAAACGGTTTTTCAACTAAAAGTGTTGAAATGAAACCCAAAGGTTGTAATACATCTCCTTTAACCTAAATTTGCCTCGCCAATTTACATTTGCCTCCCCAATTTTTTCTTCCTTGCTACCCACTAGCTCTCTATAATACCCTCTATATGTTCCCTAAAAGTCGATTACGTATTTAATACTGCGGTTGCTTAACCAATAAAAAGCTGATACCTGGGCAGAACTTTATGTAGTACTTGGCACCGTTATACGTGCTGGTCGGCTCTTTTATGAAATCATACATGTAACAAGTTGTTTGATGATTTTGTCTTCCCCATAAAGCTGCCTGGCAAACATCGTCATTCTCACAAGCCTCAAAACACGACTCGTCATCTGTGACATCAGCAGCAGTAGCATAGTAGGAATTGGCATAGTAATACTTATTATCGTCAGTGACACAGCCTGAAAAGGGAAAATGAAAAATTGTATCGTGCAATATTAAATAAAAGTATATGTATAGATTTAGAAATGTACCATTATCTATACGAGTTCAAAAGGTTTGACTCCATAGCTTTTAATCTGAACGTTGGGTATGACATGAGAGTTACTTCTTCCCTCTTGCATTCGCACTATCAATTCTCTTTAGTACCATAGTGACTATGCGGGTTGAGTTAGCCTTCTCTTTAGGCCGGAGGGATCTACAGTCACACAATGTAGATATGCAGAATTAAAGTCAATTCCATCCCCATGTTAGGTCAATGTCACCCTCGGGAGAACTCAAGTTGATCGAGTCTCGACAAGAAGATTCACGTTGGAGAGCATGAGCAGAAACCATTTTCAAGAGTAAGAATATGGATTCTTAAACAGGACACTTGGCTTGCTTCTGGAACTTTTTGTTGGCACTATACATTGTATATATTCAACTTGTTTTTTAGAATATTTAGAGAAGAATTTGGGAGTTTTTTATTTTCACAATTCCCCTTTACGTTTATCGCATGTGAGTCGATGAAATTGTGTGCATACATTCCTGCATTTTATATAAAATGATGAAAGTGGAAGATTTACTTACTTTGGGGTCCAACGGGAACTGAAAAGAAAAGAAACCATTGTTTTAAATTTATGAAGTATTCAATTATTCTAGTAATTTGGTGTTTTAAGCCAGATATAGTTAATCAAAGTTTAATTTCGAAGAGAAAACTAAATCAAATGTTTTAAAAAACACCTACCTGTATTTATGCCACACGATTTCCCGAGATCAGCTAGATTTTCGGTACATGGATTCGCATAACCATTCTCAAATGCTTTGGGAACTCCGGCTCCAGATGCACAAGATAACCGTATGGCTTCCAGATTGCCAACGTTGTTAATAGCACATTGGAAGAAGAAGCAGTTGTCCGTCCTATCGGCAAGAATTTCATTTTCCGCCGAGCATTCTACAATGAGATGTGTGTATCATGTATGGTTCAAACTTAAAAAGAGTTATTGGTATCAACTTTCATTATACGGAAAAGAGGCGGTCTTAATATTCTTTTGAATCTAGTTAAGATAGCTTCACTTTAGTAAAGGGTCACTTTTCGGACAGAATTCAAAATTACATAACCAGACTATAGAAATTCGATAATATTTAAAAACCATCAGCTTCACCGGCTGAGAACCAGTATACTTAACTCGAAAATTTGGAATAAGATTTATCCGGAACTTTACAACAAATATTGGAACCTTGTAAAACTTTCTTATGTTGCGATGAAATGTGATAGCAACGTAAAACAATACTTAAAATTAGTAAGTGGAGATCAGATGAGAAGAATAAGTGAATATTTGCTTTTGTTTTCGTCTGCCATTTCTATATTTTCAGAAATGCCAGATTTACCTGCGCTATCTGCAGAGGGGATATTCACCAACGCTAGTGCTATCAGACATAAAGAGGCAGTGTGTATATTTGATCCGATCGCTCGACGTACATCCCTCTTCATGGTTTCGAACTTGCTAAGATAAAGACATCATTAGAACATCAAATAAAGGTCGCAACCAAAGCATACGTAAAACGTCAGGTGATGCAATAGGTGATATGATTCAATCTATATAAGTATTACCGTAAAAAAGAAACCGCTTTGAAAAACCGATGACAGATATATTTGCAATAATAAAAAATGATTATTAGCGAGATAATAATTTTACATGTTGAAAAATATATGTTAAACATTCATACTTGAGAAATAATTTTTATTTGTGTTCAGTTATTTTATCTATTTTATTCAAATTAAGTGTTTTAGAGTGATGACTGCTGTTACTAAGTCGACATTTCCGTTACAATTCAATCAGAAAACTTACTTTTGCCCTTTCGATCGATGGTCCAATTAGGCTTCATTGCAAAATGCTGGCCACAGGAACAAAACCATCCAAAACATAAACACTGCGACGCTTGAAATAGTTTGAAGTGTTTAGCTATCCGACAGATGTATTTCAGAGATACAGTATATTATTTAAATTATCAAATAAAATCCGTGTACCATATCGATTTTTGTTACGTAAAGTCCAGTATTCAAGGCTGAGGTCAGTTATAAAAGAATGCACTGTATCAAAATGGATCAAATCCTAACAAATTAGCTACCGGTTAAGGTTATAAATAGGATTTAAGTCCCCTTTTGATATATCTATGCATGCAAAAGATTAATATTTAAATCCCGTCATTTATAATTTCCAAGGCCCTAAACTTTCTTTTACCGTATATTTTTAGTTTATGCCAATTGCAAAACGATAGCTACATATAAACATTGCAGCTCGCGTCTTGATTTATGGGATCATATTACCATAATAGGGAGTTTAAGATTAGCGTAAATAGGGAGGTTAAGATAAGCGTAAAAATATACGTGTACCTATCCCTATCCGTATATTTGTTACGGATGCGTATAGTAATGCGTATTGCAAAATGAGTTTAAGATTAACGTAAAAGGCTCGTAAACCGTATGCTACAATTTATGATAAAAATGGCATCCTAATTATAGAATGAAAACCATGCGATGGCTTATATGGCATATACCAGTACTTGCCACCTCCAAGAACTGTTATATACTTCAGAGAGAGTGTGGTGTAGCTGCTGTGGTTGGGAGGGGGTGTTGCTTGTGGGCCCGCTAATGGGGTAGTGACTTAAGGCGATGTGTTAAATTTCTAGCATGATCCAGCAATGAGAGTGACCAAATAGTAAAGTTAAACAATTAAAACCACCATTGCCGATTTCATACATTTACAATGAGCAAAACTGATGAAGAATGTGTAAATTCAACAATTTCATGCATCCTCACATGGCACCGTTAATCGTATCAATGAATGTGTTCGACCACTTAATGTCACTATTTTTAAGTTTAATGAATGCTATTTGATCTACAAATGACATAATTTGTTGGATAAAAGCATACGTTTCCGAATTATCTATCTTCGGCCATTTATAGGTAATTACATATCGAAAACCGTGTAACTAAAGGTAAAATTGCTGAAGATGGGTGGATTAATGACAGCTTAGGAATTAATCCGATAGACTTTATTTTCACTCTTTTGCACGTTATTGAAGATAACATATTTGTCATTTGTCAAACAAACGCATTTGTTTTTGTGGTCAAATAATTATCAGAACTTCAGTACGAGTTGTCTGAAAAAGCTTGCAATAACGTACCTACCTTCTTGGAAACAAGACACAGTGTGAACAGAATTGCACCCTTGAATATAATTTTGGCCCGGAATATTCAAAATGGGTACCCTAAAATGTACCCAGACTACCAAAAACATTTCAAGTAACCATGGTTATTATGTCACAACCAAAAAGTGGTGACATATAGTTAAGGTCTCCGTTTTTTGGACGGAGGTTTGGGGTTGGCGATCAGTGGGTGGCGCTTGGTGGTTCGGGCGGTCGGCATCTGTAACAAATTCTTAAAACTACCAATAACTTAAAAAATACAGCTTAGACTGGCTTCCGTTATTTCAAAATCATGTACAAGTTTTCAGAAGTTCAAATCTGACTTTATATTCAGGATTTGACCTTCAGTGACCTTTTCAAGGTAAAAAAAGGTAAAACAGGTCTTTTTTTGTACTTGCTTCATATTGACCATTTTTTAAAGAAATTTCATCGACAAGTTATCAGAAGTCCAAATTTGACTTTAGCTTTGGGTTTTGACCTTGAATGACCTTTTTTAAGGCCAAAAAAGGTCAAAAAGGTATTTTTCAACATGCTTCAATCATTTACAAGTTATCAGAAGTTTAAATTGACTATGGATTTCACCTTCAATTTCAGACAGTCATATGCTGGATTTTGGCTATTTTCTGAGGAATTAAGCAGATGCATATGTTAGACCAATGGATTATCTCCCGGAAAAGCACTCCTAGAGATGATAAAATAATTTCGACTTTGAGACAGGGGGATGCAAACAACCCACCCACATGTTTTTTCTGATATTTTTTCAACCCCTTTCATCCCTGCTTTTTAATTTTTCTTGCATCAATATGTTGTTTTGACACACACTTAACCCTTTAAAAGGAATAAGTGATTCCTTTTAGATGAAGTGGAAAACAATATTTCCCATGTTATTTTCCCATAGGGAGAAACTCATGTGATCCAGTGCTTTCAGCTAATTTTGGTCACCCATAATCGATATCTCTAAAACCCCCGAAGGAATCACTTATTCCTTTAAAGGGGTTAACTGTGTGTCAAAACACAACGCAACGCATATTGACGCAAGAAAAATTAAAAAAGCAGGGGTGGAAGGGGTTGAAAATCAGGAAACCATTTCAGAAAAATCACGTGGGTGGGTTGTTTTCATCTTCTCTGTCTCAAAGTCGTAATTTTTTTATCATCTCTAGAAGTGCTTTTCCCGGAGGTTATGCATTGGTCTAACATATGCACCAGTTTAGATCCTCAGAAAATAGCCAAAATTCAACATATGACTGTCCGAAATCTGTCCGATACTTTCCCTTTTCTCAATAATATGGTGAGCAACTTGGTGGTGGCATTTTGTCATGTTAATGCCTTGTATTGAAGTTTTACATTTCAGGTGATATGGAAACCACACCATTCTAACAAAAGTTCACATATCAATTTTATTGAAAAATATTTATTCGTATTAAAGATAACCATGTTTTTAGATAACCATGTTCTTTAGAATTTGAATCTTGTAACACTTAAAGCCCTTAAAGATCCTTCTCAATAAGATCCGTCATAATAAAATTCTGCCTAGATGCAGTTGTAATGTAAATCGGTATACTAGTACGATGATGTTGTCTATTAAGATAGATGCTTGAGCCCAACCATACTTCATAGTTGGAACACAAACATATAAATTTTGATATTGCGTATAAACAATACATGCACTTTTAAGGCGCTTCAAAAATTTAAGACGAGTTGAGAGTAAGCTTTAAAAATGTTTCCTGAATTTTTTCAATATTTTGCTTACAGAATTCCAGTCCATGCCTTGTTCAAAAAGTAAAATAGTTTTGAATCTGGACATTACTGCATCTTAAATCGTCAATTTGATCATGCAGTTATTCTGTTATTCTTTCTTCAGGAAATAAAATTAGGATTATTTAGGAAACATTGACATGTTCGCAATATCATTTTATTCTCCTTTTTACTTGCTGCTATTGTAAAAATGGATGTGCAATGCTAATCACAAATAAATAAAATGTATATACATGGTGTCTCAAGAATAACACTTTCCCAACCTAGTATATACAAAATGTTCTAGAGCCGTGTGTAGGGCCTAGTGTTGCTTTTGTCTTTGTTAAAAACAGTGCTAGAGTCTCCACTATTCTCCGATGATAAATTAAAGCATTTTCTTAACAGTCTTTATATTGTTTCCTTGTCCTTATGATATGACATGGACATTACAACAATTTTATGCAAATGTTCATACATCACGTGACAGCAGCAGGAGGAACTTCTATTGAATTAAAACGTCATCTGTATAACATGGGCAGAAATCTGGTTCTCTTCCCACTTGGTATCCATATAACTTTTTTTTTATTTGGCACTTTGGTGTCATAAGTACGATTTGCACGTCATTCATTGTTTTGCTGATGTAACTACTGAGCCTGGAAACTCAATCGGGTGTTCTCCACCATCTCGTTTAGTTGATTTGGTTGCAATTCGAATTTCTAAGTGTATGGGTCTTACAAAAGCTGGTATAAATTATTTACATGCACATGCACAAAAGTGCAATGAATTGTCCCAATAATACTACTATAGTTGCTTCCCCTTGTACTCGGTCTACTCCTGAAAGTAAATATAGAATAAGGTTGTCTAGATTGACTAATATTTTGAATATTAGTGAATGAGCGAGTCTGTGCATTCGATTCACATAATTGGTACCCGAGCACAATTTAGTGATCCCTTTTTGAAAATCTATGATGAACACGGAAATTGATTGTGACATTAACAAATTATCATGTATGTTAAAGGCAGAATTAGATCTACAGGGGTGAATAATTACAAGCAACATGAACAATTGACATATAATCTATTCTTTATAATCGTAAAAACCATATTTCCCAAAAGATGTACAATATGTTATAAATTGATGATTCAGAAGTTATTAAAGATTAAAAGTTCAAAAATGTGTGAAAATGTGTAAATTCTCCCAAATAATAAGAATGGTAACCATTCTTATATAAAAAATACTGTATAAGTGGTATTTAATCCGAGTGGTTAATTTGCCGAATAGTAAAATTTTATCAATTTCCTAATTTTGATTTTCCTAATGACAAGAAACTTCCCATTGGATAACAATATGAAGACAATATTTCCGACATTTAATTTTCTGAGCCTGGCAAAAATTAGGCAATAGGCAAACTAAATGATTAGGCAAAATTACCACTTATATGTAATACTTTATTGTAAAATCGTTAGTTTTCTTGAAATAAAGTGTGCGCTTTAGAAATTTTTAGAAAATAAACATGACAAGGAATGACATGAGCCAAATATATTCTAAGATAGAAACAATTTTTTGTTGGCCTGCTCGCTAGTTCTGATTCTCTCTTTAAGAATGCTTTGACGTTGATAATGTGCAAATATTGAGAATATCAGGAAAAATTAAGCATGTCTTACTGGTTTAAATAGTTACTACACACACTATTTTTTATTCATCAGTACATAGCATGGACAGACTCGTAAGTTCCAGGGGCGGATCTGGGAACCAACAAGGGGGGGGGGGGCCCAAACTTCTTGTCTGAGAAAAAAAAGTCCGCGGAAAATTTTTTTAGGCCCCTAAAACCAAAATTTGGGCCCAAATTTTGAAATTTTGAGGCCCATTTTCTTCAAAATTTGGCCTAAAATGAAAAAATAAGGCCTTAGAAGGCCCATTTATGACCAAAAAGGCCCACTTTTTGGGGCCACAAGGCCTTTTTTTGCTCAAAAATTTTTTTGGGCCCAATTTTTTTTTTCTGGGCCCACCCGAGGGGGGGGGGCCCGGGCCCCTGGGCCCCCCCATATCCGCCAGTGAGTTCAATATAAGCAATTTCACGTGTCAGTGACAAACTTTTATATTCTTTCACACATGGCGCACGGTAATTGTCGGTTTCAATGTTTTTAGTTTTCAACGAACGAAACTACGTTTCACCATATCTAACTTATATGATATAGAAACTATATTACAATTTATCCTACTGGCAATGGTACAGTAACGTGAATTGAATGATGCCAGAACGTTCACTACTCGTTGCCATTCGAATTAGGATACCTAACACTGCTAACTGCCATAAAGTAATCGTATCACTAAAAATTAGTTTCCAGGTCTCCATGACGAATGCATTATTCAAATTATCATAATTATCACGCCCTAGGCGGTAAAATATGGATCATGGCGTCAACACGCAATATTGGAAAAATGTATCACTTTGCGGAGATTCAATATTAAGCAAGCTTAGTTTGGACGAGCTATCAGAGTCGAATGTCAACGACAAAGTGGTTTGATAAGATCAAAATCAAAGGTATTGAAATCAATACAAACCTACCGTCATATAGAAAGAAACACGTGTACTCCTAAACCAGTACATTTTTCAGATTTTAAAGCAAAATATTTGTATTGTGTATTGTATTTTGTTTACCACCAATTAAGGTGAGCAATACCTTTCGGGTATATCCCGTATAGATACGGTCGTAGTTTACGTAATTAACATAGGAAATAGACCCAGAAACCCCCCCCCCCCCTTGGAGGAGCCCGATGTTCTTCAATGTGCACTTATACATGGACATGCAAGTACACACCACACCATTTCACGCAAACAAGCAAATTAAGTCTTGCCTGAATCCGGGACCTATTGTGTAAGAGGTACACGCGCTACCATTGAGCTATACGGGTGGACTTTAAAGCTCATTACGTGCAACACCGAAGAACGGGATCACAAACCTGAGTTCAAAAATATAGCAGTGGGATTATCTTGTCTCAATATATCTGCAAAAGCATCTCGTGCAACATTGTATTCTGTTTCTGTACATCCTGTCTCGTCTGAGCCGTCTGTACAATCTTCAACATTATCACAACGCAGTCCCTCCATGCACGCCCCATTGGAACATTTGATTTGCCCCGTACCACATTCTACAATATTTCATACTCTAATGTATTTAAAGATCTCGGTTATTTTTTTAACAAATACTTATTCCAGTTAAAATGCTTTATCTTTATCTATATAACGACATTGTATTTGGATTTATCGTGATGTAAACAGATGGTACCTGTTATGCCACTACATGTGCTAGAACATTCTTGAGTGCTATACGGATCTGCTGCACAATACACCCCACCACCAAGTGGAATTGGATTATCACAAGTTCTAAATCTGACTTGAACTCCATCTCCACATTGGACCGAGCAGTTTGACCATTCTTGCCAGCCACTCCATCCACCATTAACTAATAAGAGAAATAAGTATATATATGTGTTAAAGCAAGAGAAGCAAAGTTATGGACATTGTGTTTCTAATTCCGTTGTGTAATGTTGTGCTTTTCGCCAACCTATGCATGTCCGAAGAAAAACAGATTCAGCTGACATACCAAATGGACATTGATCCTCGTTGCAAGTTGTTATATCATACTTTTCCCCGGGACAATCTTCACCACCATTTGCAGGAGCTGGGGAGTCACAATCTCTAACTCTGTACTGCTTTCCCCCGCCACACTGCCGGTTACACTCAGTCATAGATGACCACGCGCCCCATTTACCATTCACTACAAAGATAGATCGTTTTCTTTGAACTATATAGGATAATTTTGGATATTTTTGTACACTTGTGTTACAATAAAACCATTATCGAATCAATCAGATCTTACTGATTTACTGAAAAATGAACAAATCCATACTATCGCTCGTGGATGGCATATATGCTCATAACTTTTGCTTGAATGTAAACAGACCACAACATCACAAATTCTCCATTTAGCAAACATCCACTTACCTACACCCACAGGATTACCAGAGGGTGCGTCCTCCCCATAAACTTTGATGTCAGAAAGAGTAATGGTTTCATTCACTACTAGGGTTACTTTCACAAACACATATCTTCCTTCAATTTTTGGTGAGCAAACAATGTCTATGCTGCTTGTAATTATCCCAGAATTTTCCCCACAAACGGTGTCGGCGAAGGTTGGTACAACAGTTTCCTCAATGTATATCTTAATATCTACATCTGTTTCTGTAAAATAATTTACAATTTATTAAAGTTTTACTCGATTTAGATATATTTATGCTATCTTACCATATGGAGTCCACAATTTACGATGGTGAACCATCAACACTTCTAAAGGTTCATTTTATCATGGTTTATCATGTAAGTTTCCATATAGCTTTTGAAATCTCGCTAAATCTCGTTTTCGTGAGATTACCTTCTTTTAAATGGCATATTTGAATTCACCGAAATGTTTTCTCCTATAATAGCTTTGATTTACAAAGTTATGTAATTTGAATAATTTTCTATGCCAATTTAAAAAAGATGCAATGCTAAAATTCTTTAAAATCTTGAATTAATTGTACGTAAACCAACAACATGTACATAAACAGGGTCATCATGTGGTATATCATTCAAGTTTTATACAGATTCAACACACACTCTTTGATAAAAAAAATTAGAAATTAAGCCACTTTTCCAAGATTTTTGCATGTAAGTGAATGGAACTCTTGCCCTAGTTAAAAGCGGAATAAAAGATGGCAGCACTAGATTTCATTGCTTTTTCTGTTACTTAGAAACCATCCTATTGAATAAAAAAAATTTAGAAAATTTGGAGATATTGAAAATGAAGTAAAATTACGTTTCCATCAATAATATAAGTATTTTCTTCGCAGGTTTATTAAGTAAATAAAAATTCAAAGGTAAAGAGGCTTTAGCACGTAGTTCAATGGGGGAGCAAAGGTTGCCAAACTTATGGAGGGGAGTGTACAAGTCAAATTGCATTATCATAACGTCAAAATGTGAAGGTGTATTCACATTTTACATAAAATTAATTATGATGTGTAACTTGGTTTAATGCAGATGATATTTAATGTATATATTATAGAACAAATTATCTATGTTAACCCCGATTTCCTCCCGGTTTATGTTAAGCCATCCCGAGTTTGTCAATATAATTTATTGCAAACCCCGATTTTCTCCTGATTTTTCTTCACCATCCCAGTTTTCCCCCTCGGGAGTGTCTTAAAAGTTCTCGTTTGCTCAATTAAGTTTTTTACTGAATGTAACTATTCCAATTTAATATATTTCCCTATGATAGAACTATGCGACACATTGTTACAATAAATATAACCTATTTCAACTGAATATACATGATATACCTTTATATATGGAAATTACGTCGAGAAATAATGAAAATTATTCATGTACATCGTTATTAAAAGGCATGGTGCATATACAACACCGTATCTCATATGCTCGCCATAGTCATGCACTATACCTGGGGGAGGTGAACTGATTTCAACGTGGTCTACAATAATCACTCCATCCAGATCAATCATAACCCACGTGTCATTGGAATATGTCAATGTAAATGTTGTTGAGTTATCTCCATCTACAAGATTAGATGGAGGATCACCATCTCCTCCGGGGTTACTACTTGTTGCTGTTGATCCATCAGCTCTGTTCACTCCTGTATTTGAACAAGTTATTGCATTGGTTATAAAATATTTATTACACAGTTATGTTTGCAGCTCATATTATTGTGTAAAGTTTGAAATTGCAAGTTCGACAAATCCACATAACAGTAATGAAAGTTTTTACATTATAAATAATATTTCAAATAAATGGAAAGATTAAATGAAAATTGGCGAATTGGTAAGTTTTGTAATATATAGAGGTTCATACTTGTATCACATTGTGTCCCTGTGTAACCACTTTCACAACTGCACGTATATCCATCACCAGTGTTAGAGCAGGTCCCATGTACACAGTTAGCAGACACTGAACATTCATCAACATCTGAATTCATCAAAGTTTAATGTGTAGTTTCATCAATCAAGTATAAAACAGAGCGAGCACAACAGTACCTTAGATGTCATATTTATCATTTAAGACTTTTGCAATATGGATAGATGTTGGTTGAGCATGATGGGATTTGTTTCCATATAACCGTTTATTTGTAGGTTTTATGACTTACCTTCTGATGGAGTTGGCTCTTCACCATATACAGATACTTGTGACAGTGTAATGGATTCGTTCACAAAGAGGATTACTTTTATAAACACATATCTGCCTTCAACGGGGGCATCACATTCTATGTCTTTACTCGTGTCGAGTGTCCCACTGAACTCGGCACAAAGTGTCTCTTCATATGTGGGAGTGTCAGAATTTTCGATATAAATTTCAACGTCAATGTCTGTCCCTATAAACCATGAGAATAATAAAATCAATACTACATCCGATTCCCGACTATTTAGTTGATAACATTGTATAATATACGTACTAAACATTAAAGTTCTGAGGTAACATGAGAGGTTATATGTTTTATATATTTACAAAGCAGGTTGTATATTTTACGTGTTTGCCCGCTCGCTCTGGGACCCATGACAAACAATAATATCCGTCATGTCCCCACTCCGAAAATAACAAACAGTTTTAACATTTTCAAAAAACAATGGCATAACGATCAATGGAAAATGAAGATCTGGAATACAGCGCACTTTCACTTATGAAGGAAACATGCTATGAGAAGTTGTGATTGTGATTTGTGGACATAAAATCAAGATATTATTGTTTATTCACATATAGCTAGGTAAGGTGTGTCAGCTTCCAGTCAATCCAAACATGCTATTTCAAATAACTATATGCTATTAAATAACCTACAATTCACCCATTCTACATTCCATTGAAACTAATAAAACCAAGAAGCTGATAAGCTCATATCTGAGTAAAATTCTATAAAAAGTATCATAGGGAATAACAAGCTACGACTGCTACGTGCGTATGTAGGTCAAATGTTAAATGTTATGATTACTATGGTGAGAATCCATGATATCTACTGACACAAACAGAAGTGACTCCTGCAAAAAGTTTACTTGAAAATATATTCTTTTTGGTCATTTCATATATTTTTAGTGATATTATGTAACATATTTTGCAATGTGTGACAAGAATTTAAACCCAAGACTCAGTGGACTGTGGAATGACCATTTCTTTCAGGCGTTATTTCCTAAAATTAACACTCGATGCCGGTGCATCTCATACAATTTTTGGAAAGCAACACCTTCAAGGAATGGTCGTTGCACATTGCACTGAGTTAAGGGCTTAAATCCTTAAATATATTTGTCATAATTAATCTATAGAAAGCTTTTCTCTTATTCGAACTAAACTGTGGAATACCTGGGGGAGGTGAACAGATCTCAACGTGATTCACAGCAATCTCTTCACCCAAATCAATCATAACCCACGTGTCATTGGAATATGTCAATGTAAATGTTGTTGAGTTATCTCCATCTACAAGATTAGATGGAGGATCACCATCTCCTTCGGGGTTACTACTTGTTGCAGTGGATCCATCAGCTCTGTTTACATCTAGATGAATTACAAATAGATTTATAGAATCATTTTCTCGCAATATGCTGTGACACTTTAAGGTTAAACATCATTATCTGAATGCATGATGCCAATTAACCATAATGTCTGCAGGAGGGGAGGGGTCGATCCGATCTGATCCGATTCGATTCTATCCCATCCGATCCTCTCCTCTCGATTTTTTGAAGAGTACTTTTTGCAAAATTTCTTTGCGTCTTTTTTATTTTTTGCTTGAGCCATAGATATAAGACACCTTTTAGCAAAAAACCAAGGTGATTGGGGGTAGAGGGGCAAAGACAAAAACAAGCTGAACTTGAAATTGCTGACCATTCAATTCACGCTACATTGATTTAAATGGGATTTCTCGATACCTGCTATCTTTGAAAGTGTATAACTTTAGTTCTAGAAAGGCTTTATGCTTTTAGTTTTATTTGAAAGATAATGGATTCTTTTTAAAGCACCCAATCATTTCTTGGCACCAAAAAAATTATTATGAACGAAAATTAAATTGACAATTTATCACAAAATGTCAACCCCCTAGGCCAGGTGGACCTCGATTTCGAATAAGGTTTACAGCAATGCCAATTACATTGAAATCAGACAAGTAATAAAAATCGCAGAGTGGATGGATGTTCAAATGCCCCCACCCCCTATCGATCGCGTCTTAGGGTTAATAAAAATCGTATAATATTGTTACCTGTATCACATTTTGACCCTGTATAACCATTGTCACAAGTGCACGTATATCCATCATCAGTGTTAGAGCAGGTCCCATGTACACAGTTGGCAGACACTGTACATTCATCCATATCTTCAACTGTATAATTGAAAAATTACAAACTTATAAAACAATGATAAAAATACAATTCGATTCCAGAAAAAACAGTCCGAGAGATAACAGTCCTTGTTATGAAGCAAACTATTAACATGGTTGTGACTTCCTCTTACCGTCATCACAATTACTTCCAGAATATCCACTGTCGCCACAATCACACGAGAATCCCCCACCAGTGTTAGTACAAGTACCATGTACACAATTAGCTGATACCATGCATTCGTCGATATCTGTGGAAATGAATGGACATTCCAAGTATTATGAGTATTGATTGTTCAAATCTCATTAAAAGATTAATACTACGAGTATATACAGAATTGGTGATGGGTTTAGAAAGGGGCGTTAGACATTATTTATTTATTTTTTATTTTTAGATCATTGCTTTTGGATATATAAGGTCTATTTTCTGTGCTGAGACAAGATTTTCAGATAAAACGTCACACTACTTGAAAACTAATTGAAAATCTATAATATTCTTACCTGTATCACATTGTGTCCCTGTATAACCATTTTCACAAGTGCACGTATATCCACCATCAGTGTTAGAGCAGGTCCCATGAACACAGTTTGCAGACACTGTACATTCATCTACATCTCCAACTGTATAATTGAAAATTATCCACTTGTAAAACAATGATAAAAATACCATTCAATTCCCAAAAAACAGTCCAAGAGATAACAGTCCTAGTTATGAAGCAAACTCTAAACAGCGTTGATATAAAATATAGTTATATTTCTGTTTACAAGTAGTTTGTGACTTCTTCTTACCTTCATCACAATTACTTCCGGAATATCCGCTGTCGCCACAATCACACGAGAATCCCCCGTCAGTGTTAGTACAAGTCCCATGTACACAATTAGCCGATACTGCACATTCGTCGATATCTGTAGAAAATATACAGCATGGACATTTCAAACATTCTAAATATTGATTGCTTAAATCTCATAATAAAAGTGAAAAATTAAAGAGATAGACGTCCTTGGAGATACATACAAAGAGATTTTGATCGGACTATTAGCAGAGACATAAACTAAAGATAAACCCATTTTATAATTTTGCAATTGATACATTGCTCATGAGCATAAAACAAGAACACAAAATGAACAATACGAGGGGTGATCCAAAAGTCTTGGACGCCTCGCTCTAACTCTGCTATTTTCTAGTATAATTACATGAAACTTTCAGATAGTGAAGATCAACATCTTAACAACGTTGTGTATAAGTTTCAACATAAAATAATATATTTTAGCTACTTTTCTAAATATTTTTTAATACCGGGTCCCTGCCACCCGGAACGGTATTTAAATATAGCAAATCACCCCACAACTGTTATAATATGGCAAATACTTTAGGTGCAGGTGCACAACTTAACACCAGTCATGATATTAGGGAATTTCCGATTTTCAGTCTGAGTGTCATCTACCATCATCATCTTCACATATTAAGACCTACTTTTCAACATATTTTCCACAAATTTGAACACATTTTTCATACCGCTTTACCCATGAATGGAAGACATTTATGAAAACGCCATTGCTAATGTGATACAAATCCTGCTGGAGTGCCACTCTAAACCTCATACAATGAGTAATAAAAAAATTTCTTTCAACCCTCCTTTTTTCTGGAGAAAAGGAAGAAAATCCCACGGAGCCATATCTAGACTGTATCGTGCATATGGTAGCTGCTCAAGGTCAATAATAGTGAAAATATCTTGTAGTATTCTTTGTTCCACTTTGATTTCTTTCATGTTCTGCATTTCAGCAGCCATCCTGCAGCATAAATGATACCAGAATGAGGGTTGCTTGTCTGATGTCATTTTCTTAGAATTTGACATATACGGCCATTATCATATGTGAATTATAACTAGAACACAATTAATTGTTTGCCTTGTAACAAAGGAAATAAACTTACATGGTTTAACATTCAAAATTCAAAGAAAAATAGTGGTCAAGACTTGCGAAACAAGTGAAATGGCGGTAACATTTAAGGTTGAAAGTTGCCATGTGCGAATACCGTTCCGGTTGGCAGGGTCCCTGTATTTAAAACTATCTAGAAAACTACATAAACTATATCATTTCTCCATGAAATTAATACACAAATAGTTAGGTTGTTGGTCTTTATTACTGGAAAGTTTAAAGTAATTTTATCAAAAACCAACAAAATTAGAGCAGGGCTTCCAAAACTTTTGGATCACACCTCGTACATTCCCACCTTTCCAAAAATCATGCCCATGAATCGAAATAAAAATATAAACACGGTTGATCTAAACATATCTTCATAATTATATTTCTGTCAAGTTCGTGTCTTCCTTCTACCTTCATCACAATTAGGTCCAGAATATCCACTGTCGCCACAATCACACGAGAATCCCCCATTAATGTTAGAACAAGTCCCATGTACACAATTAGCTGATACTGCACATTCGTTGATATCTGTAGAAAACAAACAGCATGAACATTTCAAAATCTTTTAATGTAGATTGCATAATTGCTATAAAAATAATTTGATAGACAAACTGAGATGGTCTTGAGAAACCAAAAATAGATTTTTTAATATTGCTTAGTCTGCACAGCCACGAGCTAAGGTTGAATCCCCGGTAGCATTTGACGATGGATACATTCCCAAATGGGCATAAGACAAGAACACAAAGTGAACGATATTTCCCACCTTTAAAAAATCATATTTTTCAGACGATATTGTACTCTTCGAATCGAAAATCAATTCATGCGATCTATTTTCTAAGTGCAAAGCTAATCTGAAAGTTGATCTTATATAATTCCAATATAATATATGATATAAAGAAGTTATTCATCAGGAGGGATTTGATATGGGAAATATCACAAGGATGATATCAATATTTCCCGAGGGCACGCAGAGGGATATTCCCTATCATTCCGACAGGTGAATAACGACCATGGTCAAGAGCAATATCTACCTTAAATCTTCTGTTGACTAGGAGCTCGAGAACATTTTGAATGAAATGAAAATATTTGGAAAATGAAAATTTTGGAAAGAATAAAAATTTTTGAATAACACCCGGGTTGATATCTATATTATCCCTCTAATCCCAATATCATCCCTATCCCAAATATGTGATTTATCACTTGCATTTATCACTCTATTATACACCTCGTTCAAGATCACTTATACACCAGATTTTACCAAGAAGATATACAAACATGATTTTTCCTTAAATATTTTTTATAATAATAATTCTGTCAAGAGCATGTCGTCCTCTTACCTTCATCACAATTTGTTCCAGAATATCCGCTGTCGCCACAATCACACGAGAATCCCCCATCAGTGTTAGTACAAGTCCCATGTACACAATTAGCTGATACTGCACATTCGTCGATATCTGTAGAAAATAAACAATATAAACATTTAATAATTTCAAGCATTCTTAATACAGATTGCATGATTGCAATAAAAATAATTTAATAGCCTGTACAATCATCGATATCTGTGGAAATATACAGCAAGACATTTGAAACATTTTGAACATTGACTGCTTAAGTCTCATAAAATGAAGTTGGTCTGGATACACCCAAGAGATTTCCATTGGGCTATCATAGCAGATCCACAAGCTAAGGATAAATCCCCTGTATCATTTTAAGACGAATACATTTCTGAGGAGCATACAACAATATATTCCAACCTTTTGAAAATCATGTCTAAATCTTCGTAGAATATAATAATTATATTTCTTCATAGAGACATGATTAAATTGGATCTTTTTTAGTATATTGGGACTAAATACAAACAATGCTATTCACAAGTATAATTGTCCGTAACTTAATTTTACATTGTAAAAATATACATGACATGCTCAAGTGAACTGCAGTTTGACTTGTCTCAACTTAAGAATGTAATAATACAAGTCCAAGCTCATTTAAAATGATAACCAGTTCTCAACAATCGAACTAGAAATATGGTTGATTAGAATATATTCATAATTATAGTTTTGCAACGGGAGGGGGGGGGGGGGGAGGGGGCAACCTCAGAGATGCCATGTCCTTATTATGTAAACCTATGAGATGACATACATTGCAGCCACATAATTTTCAAAATAATAGTATGTTCATCTATGGCTTGTTAGCCAATATCATGGCTACTTATTTCACATTAGATAAAGAAAGGTGTACGGAATGTGCATACACTATTTAAATCATCATATCGACGTGTAGTATTTGGAAACTATTTTTTCAAATTATTTGAAAATTGAACAAAGATAGTAAACAAGACACGCATTTAATTCTGTTATTGCTAGCGTTTTCCCTTCTCTTCTTTTCCAAAGAGCACGTCGTCCTCTTACCTTCACCGCAATTACTTCCAGAATATCCACTGTCGCCACAATCACACGAGAATCCCCCGTCAGTGTTAGTACAAGTCCCATGTACACAATTAGCTGATACAGCACATTCGTCGATATCTTTAGAAAATAAACAATATGAACATTTCAAATATTCTTAATATAGATTGCATAATTGCAATAAAAAATAATCTAATAGACAAGCGGAGATGGTCTTGAGAAACCAAACATAGGGCTTAGACAGCAAAGCCACAAGCTTGAACCCCCGGTATCATTTGACGATGGATACATTCGATGGGCATAAAATAAGAACACAAAGTGAATGATATTCCCACCTTTTCCCACCATTTTAAGACAATACTGTACTCTTGAATCGAAAATCAATTCATGCAATCCATTTTCTAAGTGCAAAGCTAATCAGAAAGGATTGAAAAGGCATCATTAAAGTAGATCTTATATAATTCCAATAGTAAAGTAGCCCGGACAGAACTGTTCACAGGGTCACTTTTTCTTTAATTACTTGTTTAATTTTCAGTATTATCAAATACTGAGTACATATTTGAAAACTAAAGTAAAATTCTGACATACAAAAAATATATTGAAATTGCTCTGACCATGGTATAAAATATAATACACGTTCAAGATCACTCATACACCAGATTTTAACGAAAATATAAACATGATTTTTCTATAAATATTTTTTAATGATAATAATTCTGCCAAGAACATGTCGTCCTCTCACCTTCATCACAATGAGTTCCAGAATATCCGCTGTCGCCACAATCACACGAGAATCCCCCAACAGTGTTAGTACAAGTCCCATGTACACAGTTAGCTGATACCGTACATTCGTCGATATCTGTTGAAATATACAGCATGAACATTTTAAACATTTTTCATATTGACTGCTAAGTCTCATAAAAATGAATAAATAGACAGCTGAAGATGGCCTAGATACACCCAAAGGAGATCTCCATTTGAGCTATTACAGCAGAGACACAAGCTAAGTATAAAGCCCCTGTATCATTTTTAGATGAATACATTTCTGAGGAGCATTATAGAATGTGGACAATATATTCCAACTTTTTAAAACATCATGTCTAAATCTTCATAGAATATAATAATTATATTTCACCATAGAGACACGATTAAATTGGATCTGTTTTAGTTTGGGACTTAATACAAATGCTATTCACAAGTATAATTGTCCGTAACTTAATTTTACCATGACAAAAAATACCATCGATGACATGCACGAGTGAACTGCAGTTTGACTTGTCTCAACTGAAGAATGTAAAAAATTCAAGTCCAAGCTAGGCTCATTTAAAATGAATACCAGTTCTCAAAGACGTGCTAACTATAAATATGGTTGATAAGAATATATGCATAGTTATAGTTTTGCAACGGGGGGGGGGGGCAACCTGAGATATGACATATCCTCATCATTTTAACCTGTACGAGATGACATACATATCTGAGTGGTCAAAAATCGACAAAAATGGCGGAATACGCCTATACCAAATAAAGCATCACATCAATGTTTAGTATTTGGAAACATTATCCAAACGTTTTAAAATTCGAACGAGGGTAGTAAGCGCAGCAAGAGACGCACATATGTGCTTAAATTCTAGGGCTTTCCCTCCTCTTCTTTTCCAAAGAGCATGTCGTCCTCTCACCTTCATCACAATTAGTTCCAGAATATCCGCTGTCGCCACAATCACACGAAAATCCCCCGTCAGTGTTAGTACAAGTCCCATGTACACAATTAACTGATACAACACATTCGTCTATATCTTTTAAAACATAAAAATACTATAAGTAATAACCGGCAAACTTTATTTATTTAATTGAATAATAGGTGGATGACTTGATATGCAAATATATATGTCAGATTTTTATTGACTAGGAGCACAACAATCAAACAGTCAGTCATTATTTTAATTTGGCAATGTCTGGAAATGGATGTATCTTATTCAATTCAAATAAATTTGGTTCTTCCTGCAAATTTTGGGATGAATTCCTTTTAATTCAGATTGATTTTTGGAAATGTTGAAAAATAGGTAACTGCTCATTCACTTGATTATGTATTGTACACACTGTATTATTATGTATATATTTTGCTGTCATGTTGAGTTAAACTTTCAAGCACTTGAACATTTTAGATTAATGATTTTAAATGTGGTCAATTATATACCTATGTAGGTGTCACGACCACGAATATGTAAAAATGTTTTTATGTTTTAATGAAATAAATAAAAATAAAAAATAGGTTTACTGCTCGCTTTTACAAATATGATAAGTATAATCTAATAGCACAATGCAAACGCGTATAGTACTCTTACCTTGATCGCAATGGCTACCATCCCATCCTGCATCACATATGCAAGTATACCCTGCTTCACCGTTGTCATTTTCACACAACCCATTGTTGCAGTTTGTTTCAGCACACAAGTCAATATCTGAAAATATACGGGGTCAATACCATTTTTAAATACTCGCAATATTTGTTTTATAACTTTTCTCTTTTGTATTGTTTGAGGTATAATTAGAATTGACAAATTAGAATAAATATCGCCTATATAAAAGAGCCTCGTTGAGGTGAATAATCTATTTTAAGCTTCACTTCTCACTCAAATAATGAAAATTTGCTATGGCGCAATATTTCCTCGATCAGCATATTTGGTAGTCACGTTGCGATGCACTTTTTTACCTGTGTCACAGTTGGGGCCAAACCAGCCAGCATTGCAGGTACATTTGTAATCACCAATTTCATTTGAGCATGTCCCATGATCTCCACATGGTGTTCCCGCAGAGCATTCGTCAACATCTATAGAGAGACGAAAGTAAAACGTTAAGTCATAGTCCATTCTTACCTTGGAACCTTTCAAAAATGCAATATTAGTTTAAGTGAACCACAAAAAGGGCACCATTTTAACCAATTACTGCCCACACAATACCGAAAACTTACCAAATTGCATCGAGATTGGAATTCAGGGTTTTTATATTATCGATACGGTGACCTGAATTCAACATTGTCTTTCGATTAAACCAATTATTGAAAATATTCTGTAAAAAAACTGTCATTGATTGACAACAATTTTATGCAAAAACTGTTTAAACATTTTTTTATTGCTGTTTTTGTAAACATTTTTGTTTTTATTAGTGCAATTGTTTTTCGTTCCCTTCTACCAACATTTCCATCACAAGTTTAAATAGTGCATACTAGCATGCACCTGTATAAAGCACAAGTAGTAGGAGATATCAGTGACATGACCCAAAAAGTGACGACCATATCATTATCTTTCCAAGAAGTAAACATTTTATGACTCAATAGGGCTGTGGGTAAAGTAGAATTAAAGTAGAGTACCTTGATCACAGTTAGTCCCAGACCAGGTACTTGGGCAATTGCAAGTGTATTGATTTACGCCGTCAATGCAGTCTCCAGTACCACAGGGGTTTGGGGCGCAATCATCTATGTCTGCAAAAATAATGAGCATAGTCACATCATAATGGTGTTAAATAATTTCAATTGATCAAACTGAATGGTAGGCAGGGGAGGAATTAGACTCTTTTCCTTTTCACATTTGATTGAGATCTGGAATAATTTCCTTCGTGTGCTCTTAGATGATTTCCTTTTCATGCTGTATTCTGTAACCATTTTGGTATTTTCCCGTTGGCACTTGCGCTTGCATAAAGTAGTTAAGTACTTGGGCTATGGCGTTAATGGTTGAGAAATAAGCGTCCGAACCAGCCATAGTTTTTGACCATAGTGATTTATTGTGTTTTATGCATTATGGCGACGCCTTTTAGACTGGATGTTGACAATTTGAATTAAGTTTGGACTTCGAGACTGGATTTTGTCTATCCCACATCATTTGAGACTGAATGTTCTAGTATCTTTTATGAGTACTTAAATAATATCTAGTAATATATGCAACTATTTTAGATGTTATGAGTATTGGCTACCTATTTTAATTTTTCCTTCAACATGTATTTTAATGACTTCAGTATGAGTGAAATGTTCTTTGGTGTTCTGGTCCTGGATTGGGGTTTTGGCTCTCGATTGAAGAGGGAAGGGGGTGTTAGAGATTATTTACCTTCACGTTGGATCATGGTTTTGAAATATATAGGGTCTATTTTTGTATGACAGGTCTATACTTAGAGTTTGGTTTTCTTGCTAGGTTCCTTTACTGGTTTTGTTCCTCCCCTTTTGTACTTGTACTAAGACATTTATGAACTGCGAATGGAGTACGATTTTCTAGATTTCAGTGTGTGGTTTTAGTGAAGAGATTGTTGTATGTAATGTATAAACAAGACATGCGTTAAAAGATTTCAAAGAAATCAAAAGATTTCAAATGATCTCTATAATGGATTAACGTTGAAACAATTCTCTTACTTATTTGACAATTGTCTCCGTTGAATCCTGTTGCACAAGTACACGTATACTCGTTAAGTCCATCGACGCAAGTTCCACCGTTAAGGCAAGGCTGAATCGCACAATCATTCAGATCTATAAGAAAATTGAATACATTTCTTTGGAAAAAGGAAACGGACGTTCTTATATGTTTATACTTATATTTCAACGTAGAGTATACCTGATTAATCTTCTACAAGCAATATGCTGTACAATCTTGATTCATGACAGTAATGACAAATATGCACATAAGTAATGACATATAAGTAATGACAAGTATGTAAATATACATATTTACAACTATTAACTAGCTTTATTTGTATTAAAACGTGTTAAAAGTTGACCTTTTCGACTCAGGTTAACTAAACTGCATGAGAGACAAATGCTAGATTCAGACTGATCAGTTACTACTTAACTAAGTATACGCACGATGTAATCGAAGGTTTAGTGATTTAAAAAGTAACTTCAATCAAAAACATGTAAGATAATAAAATGTATTGGAACATCCATATTCCCAACCGGTATTTAGTACATGTTTGCTATTAGAATATATCTATATGTCAACGTATCCAAAGACATCCTTGCGATGTAAAGTACATACCTATATCACAAACTGCCCCCATGAGACCTGGTTGACAGATACACTGGAATGCGTCCACAAGATCCACACATGTTCCATCATTTTGACAGGGGTCACTTAGACACTCGTCGATTTCTTGAATGAAATTAATATATCAATACCACAATACCGAAAACTTACCAAATTGCATCGAGATTGGAATTCAGGGTTTTTATATTATCGATACGGTGACCTGAATTCAACATTGTCTTTCGATTAAACCAATTATTGAAAATATTCTGTAAAAAAACTGTCATTGATTGACAACAATTTTATGCAAAAACTGTTTAAACATTTTTTTATTGCTGTTTTTGTAAACATTTTTGTTTTTATTAGTGCAATTGTTTTTCGTTCCCTTCTACCAACATTTCCATCACAAGTTTAAATAGTGCATACTAGCATGCACCTGTATAAAGCACAAGTAGTAGGAGATATCAGTGACATGACCCAAAAAGTGACGACCATATCATTATCTTTCCAAGAAGTAAACATTTTATGACTCAATAGGGCTGTGGGTAAAGTAGAATTAAAGTAGAGTACCTTGATCACAGTTAGTCCCAGACCAGGTACTTGGGCAATTGCAAGTGTATTGATTTACGCCGTCAATGCAGTCTCCAGTACCACAGGGGTTTGGGGCGCAATCATCTATGTCTGCAAAAATAATGAGCATAGTCACATCATAATGGTGTTAAATAATTTCAATTGATCAAACTGAATGGTAGGCAGGGGAGGAATTAGACTCTTTTCCTTTTCACATTTGATTGAGATCTGGAATAATTTCCTTCGTGTGCTCTTAGATGATTTCCTTTTCATGCTGTATTCTGTAACCATTTTGGTATTTTCCCGTTGGCACTTGCGCTTGCATAAAGTAGTTAAGTACTTGGGCTATGGCGTTAATGGTTGAGAAATAAGCGTCCGAACCAGCCATAGTTTTTGACCATAGTGATTTATTGTGTTTTATGCATTATGGCGACGCCTTTTAGACTGGATGTTGACAATTTGAATTAAGTTTGGACTTCGAGACTGGATTTTGTCTATCCCACATCATTTGAGACTGAATGTTCTAGTATCTTTTATGAGTACTTAAATAATATCTAGTAATATATGCAACTATTTTAGATGTTATGAGTATTGGCTACCTATTTTAATTTTTCCTTCAACATGTATTTTAATGACTTCAGTATGAGTGAAATGTTCTTTGGTGTTCTGGTCCTGGATTGGGGTTTTGGCTCTCGATTGAAGAGGGAAGGGGGTGTTAGAGATTATTTACCTTCACGTTGGATCATGGTTTTGAAATATATAGGGTCTATTTTTGTATGACAGGTCTATACTTAGAGTTTGGTTTTCTTGCTAGGTTCCTTTACTGGTTTTGTTCCTCCCCTTTTGTACTTGTACTAAGACATTTATGAACTGCGAATGGAGTACGATTTTCTAGATTTCAGTGTGTGGTTTTAGTGAAGAGATTGTTGTATGTAATGTATAAACAAGACATGCGTTAAAAGATTTCAAAGAAATCAAAAGATTTCAAATGATCTCTATAATGGATTAACGTTGAAACAATTCTCTTACTTATTTGACAATTGTCTCCGTTGAATCCTGTTGCACAAGTACACGTATACTCGTTAAGTCCATCGACGCAAGTTCCACCGTTAAGGCAAGGCTGAATCGCACAATCATTCAGATCTATAAGAAAATTGAATACATTTCTTTGGAAAAAGGAAACGGACGTTCTTATATGTTTATACTTATATTTCAACGTAGAGTATACCTGATTAATCTTCTACAAGCAATATGCTGTACAATCTTGATTCATGACAGTAATGACAAATATGCACATAAGTAATGACATATAAGTAATGACAAGTATGTAAATATACATATTTACAACTATTAACTAGCTTTATTTGTATTAAAACGTGTTAAAAGTTGACCTTTTCGACTCAGGTTAACTAAACTGCATGAGAGACAAATGCTAGATTCAGACTGATCAGTTACTACTTAACTAAGTATACGCACGATGTAATCGAAGGTTTAGTGATTTAAAAAGTAACTTCAATCAAAAACATGTAAGATAATAAAATGTATTGGAACATCCATATTCCCAACCGGTATTTAGTACATGTTTGCTATTAGAATATATCTATATGTCAACGTATCCAAAGACATCCTTGCGATGTAAAGTACATACCTATATCACAAACTGCCCCCATGAGACCTGGTTGACAGATACACTGGAATGCGTCCACAAGATCCACACATGTTCCATCATTTTGACAGGGGTCACTTAGACACTCGTCGATTTCTTGAATGAAATTAATATATCAATACCAATCCCTTTCAAAAAGCAGTCTACTACACTGAATACATTCGGCCTGTGTAAGATAGGAACGATGTAACATTTCAAGTTATGTTTCATACGTATGCAAATTGGTAAGTATGTGGAAGCCCAACTGTTCTGGGCTACCCAAGTGTTCCGACTCATACCAAACTATTCTGACAGCGCAAGTGTTCCGAATTCGATTATTCCATAAGATCTGGAAATTCAAAATAGAGGGTGACAATAATATCTTTCTGGGAAATGAATGTTTCTCTAAAATGTTGGCCCTCTTTTGAAAATTTAGACCCAATTTTCGGAAATGTTGACACATACTCTAAAATGGGCCAAGTCAGAATACTTCGGCAAGCGTCGGAATACTTGGGTAGCCCAGAACACTTGAAGCTCCACATACGTGCGAACGCAAATTGCTTCCTTTGTTTTTTAACTATGAATTAAAGAATTTTTATTGTGAATTTCATTTTAAGTGGAATGAAAATCATATGGTTATTGACTTTGTTCAACTTATAATTCTTATAATTCCAATGCCTATTGTTCTCTTACAATGCTGATTTGAAAATTCTTATATTTTACAAAGTGTTCATTGATGATCATCACCCTGAGATTAACAGACTTTTAAGAGAAGTTGTACATTGTAATGGGCGCTTTCTATCCTGCATGGTACAATAGTAAATAGTGTGTATGATACAATACCTACTTAATTTTGTAATTGTTGCTATGTCAAAGATTATAATTACATACCTTCACATTCTAGAGGTGTTCCATCAGATGGTGACCATGAACTGCCACTGCATGTGTATTCAGTAGTTCCGCTTAAATATGTGTATCCTGATTTACAGGAATATGTAACAACAGATCCCTCTAGAAACTCGCCAGCACGTGTTACATTCTCAGTAAGCTCAATCGTAGGAGACCCACATCCAATTCCTGTGAATATGTTAAAATATGTTAAAATTCTCAAGATTTTCCCTGGATAAATAACCCTCGTGCGGAAAAAATGAAAAAAAATTGGAAAAGTTCTCTCAAATATAAAACTTATGGAAGATTTTAACTTACTCTTCCTGCAGTAGGCGATGTTAACATTATTGTTATCAGACGAAGGCCATATGAACTTTGTGTCTGATTTAAGTCCAGAGTCTTGTAAGGACGTCCAGTATTGGTCCCTGGTGCAGATCTCAGCCGCATTCGCCCAACCACTGAATGAATAACACGATCTCGTTGACTTAACAGTGCACACATACCAGTAGTTATTAGAATAACAATGTGAATTGTGTAGATTTTGGGAATTTTGAGGAAACTCCCATTGCGTATTTATTAAGAAAATAAGCGTTTATTTGTGGGTTTCTGGTTACGTTTTGAGAGATCTTGAATTGATGAATTATAGAGTTACAGTGCGATCTTGTGCGCCAGGTGGGATTTTCTAGAGCAGAGTTCACTTGCAATTGGCAGAGACCTCCTAGAGTCGAGACAGTCTTCCTTGAGAGAGAAGGGCGACCTTTTAAAAGTGGCAGAGAGACATCCTTGAGAGGAAACAGTCCTCCTAAGCCCTCCTTGAGTAGAGAAGTTACCCAGAGTGAGAGTCTGGAAGCCGGAGTATTAGAGTCCGGAGAACTATCCAGATGGGGCAAGAGTCCAGAGGAGAAAGAAAAAAGATATACCCGGAGTGAGAATCCAGAGGAGAAGTGGAGGACAAGTTACCTGAAATGAGAGTGCCTGGAGAAGTGGAGAGAAGATAGTCGGAGTATATACATACCTGTATCAAATTGTCTCAGTTACACCAGGTTATAGCGTTAGAGAGGGACATTATGTTTCAAATGTCAAGAAGTCTTAAAATCGCCAGGAAATTTCATATTTCATACAGGCTCAAAACTGTATGTATGTAAGGTTATTTCATTTTATACCATATTGGCAATACAATAACGCTAAGCTGATTTACCTGTCATCAAAATCAGGAAGGTACCAGTCAGTCTCAAGATTCTGAGAGCACTTCCAACTGCTGTCTGAACCGATAAGCTGGCTAGCCTGCACGGCAAGCGCTCCTGGACCACCAGTATCTATGCCTAAAATGAAGAATGTAAAAAGTGTAAGTGTCGGTAAAACACATTGTATAGGCTAATATCAAAGGATATTTTCTCATTATTAACAAATATTATAAGTAAGTATCTTCTTTTCAACATGGTGACCATTATATATCCGACTCGACCATCATTCATTAACTGTGAATATTAGTCTCGTACTACGTTCTATATTCAGATATTTTCAAAAACGAAATGAAACAGAATAATGCCATTTACTTTTTAGCCTACATACAATTATTGTTTTTATAAATTTAATCATTGTTAATTCATTTTCAAAGTTGTTATTAGTACATACATTTATAAAAAACTATAAATTTCATCTCCCTTTTCCTAGGCAATAGGCACCACTCTTTTTTGACGTATTAATTGGTATATAAGTACACACTTAAAATAATGTGCAAATATTTTCACCCTAACAAACGGTCTTGTCATACAATAAAGTTTTACATATTTATTTTGTAATATAAAAAAGTGAATGAATAAATAACACATCGTGACGACTCATTTGTTCTGAATTCAGTTTGGTGAGTTCATCTAATTGCAACATTGGCCTTAGGTCTTCTACTTACAAACGATTGCAATAACTTTCGTATAGCCTTCGAGAAGCTTCACATAAACACGCTTCCAATCCAATCCACTTCCTAAATCTGCGCCATCTGCGTAAAACCTGTGTTCGTCATCGCATACTAGGTATACATTCAAGCCTTCCTCTGTATAACAAATAAAACCCCTTTGTAGCATTTATCTAGTATTTAACTTTATTTTCATCAATTTATGATATATTTACCTGCTAAGAATCAGTATTTAAAAAATCTTCCAGTATAGAGAATAATAAAGAATGAACTAGATATCGGCAACTCCACGGAGTAGCAAATCCCAAAGAACACCTGTATATTAATGGATCTGTATATGTCGCAAATTTAATATTTACTAATCTCCACACTTGATCAAATTGGAAGATACTAAAACTTAGATCTTGGCAAAGAATTCCCACATTTTTAAAACCATCTTGAAAAACAAATTTTTTGGCTGAATTCTAATTACAGCTTCACTCCTCAGAACGAGCCCAAGATACATCCATTTATTCAATGATGGTGAAATTCCCTGCAATCTGATTGGTCCATGTGACTTACATATTCTGTATTTATGCACTTTCCACTTAGCGCTAGATGCTGAGTGAAAATGACATCAGCGAGTCGGGATACGGTCCAGTATCCCAACGCCCCAGATTTCAATCCATGATATCTGATGGCAAGGAATATTTCAACATCATGGAATAAGTCTTCTTATACGGTCGTGTAATATATAGATCAATGAGAGTGTGGGGAATATGACATTGCTATAATAACATTTTGTTTTTACATGCTAGAATGTTATAAGGAAAAAGAGAAGCATGACTTGTTCTGACTCGTAACTATTTAATGTATAATCAAGACGATCAAAAGAACTTTTATCTATGAGTAAAATGTGTACTTGTTTCGCAAAATATGCCACCAAACCCGGGAGGACAGCTGCACGTCAGGTAGCCTTGTAGGTTGTGACAGGTGCCTCCATTCTGGCAAGGGTTACTCAAACATTCATCTCGGTCTAGAAAAAAGAATATTTAAAAATTGGTGGTTGTGCGAGAACAAATCTCAAACACCCTAAATTCGATGTCAAAGTCACTCTCTTCGAATCTGGATACTATACATACCTATGGGTTGTTTACACATTGTGCTATAAGACGTTCCCGTCTCACAGTCCATATCTTCCCATTTGTAATCATTGTCTTTTTTGAATATACCACATTGTTTATCCGGGCTACTAGGCTGGCCGACAGCCCAATCGGTAAATGTAACATGTTCCTGAGAGAACCAATAGCGATACTCATTCACATCAGAGAGGTATTGATCCGTACCTGTAAAGATCAAATATTATTATCAAATATCGAATGATTTATTGGATCATTCTCGGAAATCTGCCTGTCGATTTCGATTCTGAACCACATAGTTTCAGAAAACTGACATATTACTCTAAGCTCGACAGTTATGTTTTGTAACTCTGGTACGTTTAAAATCGAATCAACAATGCCCTTTCTAGTTTGCCATTAATATACAAGGTGCCCCGAAACAATTACACCAAAAAAAAAAACGAAATTACTTTGTGAGTGGTGAAGGAATATTCTTGAAAAGCCATCTGACAGACAATTTTTTAATGATGATGATTTTTTTTATTTTGAATTCGATGACGGGAAATAGTCATTCCCATCTCACTTGGGTACAATTTAATAAACGCGAATTAGCAAACGTGCGTTTCAAAAACATACACATACTACTGGGGTCTACATTGCTAATGAAATCCTGTTGTATGTTGAGCTTTGAAATGTTGAACTTTGAAACCACACTGGAATAGCCTGACAACGGTAAAGTCAGATAACGTTGTCACATATGGCGGACATAACTGTCGCCTCAATTAGATTTGCATGACCTGTACAGTATGTTTAATAGAGCACCTAGACTAAATTACCTTTGAACAACACTCCATCAAAGTTTCTTTATACTCATTATACAGTTAATAATGTTCTACAATCGAAATAAAGTCTTTAATTTAACCAATCAAAATGAGATACGGGACAACGGACACTGTATAACCATATATGCAGTTGTCAAATTCAAATTCCGTTGTCACTGGCGATATCGAAGATGCTATATTGTTGCGATTCACGACCAAATGTGATCGAAATTGGAATTTCATATTATAATACATCATCACAAGAGCTTAATACATGCACAGAATTAGCGACGATAAAATCCCATGAAATGAGGACCAAGCGATTAAACATTTGAAGCGACGGTTATGTCCGCCATTTATGAAAACGGTATCTGACTTAACCGTTGTCAGGCTATTCCGGTGTGTGAGATGTCATTTCAAACATTTTTGAAAAGGGCATCAGGACTAATAAAATCCTATTATATGCGAATTTCTAAAAACTGATATCGCATTATTTGATTTATGCAATTTCTCGCTATACTTTTTTATTGGGTTAACTCTGATGAGGTCAGGTTGATGTTTGTCATGATAAGGTACATTTTGTAGAGACGCTTTTAGACGAGGAAGGCACGTGTTGTGTGTATTATTGATTAAGTTTTAACATAGATAACTCTCTGACAACTCTTTTTTCAAATCCTGATTGAAACCAATTAGATTATTTGGATTTCTCTGTATTTTTGTCACTCACCCATCCACCAGTCTCCTTGGTTCAGAGCTGTGAAGTAGTGTTTCAGCCACGTCCAGTCCGCGCTATCCATAACATCGACTATCGAAGCAGTATATGAATCGGTGCAATGCTTTTTGCCAGGTATAAGCGTTTTCTTTCCAACCGGAATGTAGCAATAGTTGTGTTTTTGCTTACCCGATTGTGGACAATTGTCATATACGTCTGAAATGCATTAATCAAAAAATCAAATTGTTCGGAGAGTACACAGGTAGTAGCCAAGTAGTCGGACAAGGCCAGGCACGAGGCAGGTGGGGCACCAAGTCACTTTTAGATGAATGTATTTAGACGCTCTTTCAACTAAAAGTGTTAAAATGAAACTCGAAAGTTATATACATCATTTGAAAAAAATTAACCCCGCCAGTTAAGATTTGCCTCCCCATTTTTTATCTTGGCTACGCCGGTGCAATTAGGTACCCCCCCCCCTATGGCTCTCTATTACATCCTCCATAAAGTTCCCTAAAAGTCGATCTACTACTGCGGTTGTTTAACCAAAAAGCGAATACCTGGACAGAACTTTATGTAGTACTTGGCACCGTTATATGTGCTGGTTGGCTCTTTTATAAAATCATACATGTAACAAGTTGTTTGATGATTTTGTCTTCCCCACAATGCAGCCTGGCAAACATCGTCATTCTCACAAGCCTCAAAACAGGACTCGTCATTTGTGGCATCAGCAGCAGTAGCATAGTAGGAACTGTCATAGTAAAACTTATTATTATCGGTAACACAGCCTGTAATAGGAAAAAATAGTATTGTACATAAATAGTACATTTTATGAATATACCAGGTCGTTCAATAAGGTATGTAATTCAATTTCAATTTCAATTTAAGTCATTTATTTCATGATTCTTATATAATATACACTATAAAAACATTCTGCTAGACACCCGACCCTAGTGGGTATATGTTGCGGTTTTACAGAAATTTTTAGAATGACATCTAGACTATATAATATAAAAGGAAGAACTTATATTATGTTACATGTAGGTATATAAAAATTGTATTTACAATTAATGTACAATGTAGAAATGTTACCAAAAAATCAGCTGCCAGTATAAAACCAACAATACAGCATTTCAAACATTTTTGAAAAAAATGTTGGTGGGGTGTTTGCACTTTCCCTGTCTCAAAGTCCAAATTGTTTTATCATCTTTATGAGTGCTTGTCCTGGGGTAAATGGATTGGCCTAATATACAGATTGGGCCAAAATAATTGCGTACACAACTGATATTGCTCTCCCGTGCTTATATGATGAAACAGACAGATACTAATATTTCCACACAAGCAAGTTCAGGAAATTATTTATCCGAAGTAAAAAGGTTAACCCCTGTTTTTATTATTTTTGGTAATAAACTATTAAGGCGTACATAGGGGTGGAACACGTCATGAACGAAATGTTGAACAATTGATATTGGAATTTAAATAGGAATATTGCCAGACTATTGCAGTTAAGAACATTGACAATCACCTAATTGTATCTTTAATGATGTCTGATCAAGTAAACAGAAGAAGGCCTAGCACTACTACTGGTGATAAACTGCTGATTGAAGCCATATTTCATGAAAAAAATAGTGCAAGTGGGATCTGTTCGATGTTTCCCAAAAAGAATTGACATGAGAGCACTGGCCATCCCCGAAAACGCTTCACACAAAAAGTCATGGCATCAGTAGCCTTTTCTAAAAAGGGGAAAACTGACGTGTACAGATAAGGCGCATATCCAGAAACTTTTTTTAACAGGATTGAGCACCATCACATCGAGCGAAATCAACAATTGACTACCTTATTAAACAGAAAACCTGCTTTTATTCCACCTGATATGTGACCCCCAAACAGTCCGGATACTGCCCCAGTTGACTACTGTGCTTAGGGTTGCCTTGAAAACAATGCACCCTACACCTAGGCACCCGAGATCAATTAGAATGGAATGCACTCAGTGAAAAGACGTTGAATAAAGCAATTGATCAATGGTGAATGCGGGCAAGGCTCGTTGTCCAGGAGAAGGGGGTCCTAATGAAAACGACCTCATATTACTATTAGATAACTGTGGCAATAATACATGAAACTGAAAGATAACTGTTGGAACTTTACTTGCGCCAAGTTACAAATAAATCCGTGGCATCATATGGAGTTGAGATCAATTTATATTGTGTACACATTTTTGGCCCACCCTGTATACACCTATGGAAATCCATAGAAGGAAGATTTACTTACTTTGGGGTCCGACGGGAACTGAAAAGAAAAGAAATCATTGTTTTAAATTTACAAGTATTTAATGAGCAATTTGATATCTTCAGCCAACTATTAATAGTAAATAAAGTTTTAATTTCGAAGAGAAAACTAAATGAAACGCTCACCTGTATTTATACCACACGATTTCCCGAGATCAGCTAGATTTTCGGTACATGGATTCGAATAACCAGTTTCAAATGCTTTGGGAACACCAGTTCCAGATGCACATGATAACCGCAAGGCTTCGAGATCGCCATCATTGTTGATAGCACATTGGAAGAAGAAACAGTTATCCGTTCTATCGGCAAGAATTTCATTTTCCGCTGAGCATTCTACAATTGAGTATATTTCAATTTTACATTGGATAAGTGAAGATCGATCAGAGGTGAAAGTTTTGTGAATATTTGCTTTTGTATACGTTGCCATTTTTCGTCTATTATATTGCTCAAACTGGAATGATAACATTTTAAGAATCAGCCAAAGAAATTCAGATAAATGTCAGATTTACCTGCAAGTCGTGACCATTTAAAAAGAGAATGAACCGTTTAGTCCCTTTTTGAAAACCCCAAAACGTAAAAACAGCAGTGAATTTCATGAATTTCAACCGTCAATGTTTTATTATCATATTAGATTTACAATATTTATACAAAGTATATGAATATTTCATCAAACCAGATAAAGGTAAAATCATTTTATCAATACATATTCATGTTAATGTCTAGTAAAATTGTGTTTCTTCTTATCGTATAGAATTTTCTATGTAGCTTCTAACTAGACTTACAAATAAACTATTCTCAGATAGAAATTTCTATACAAAATATTCCATTGTCTTTCCGTATAGAAATTTCTATGCAGATGACTCTGGAAATATCAATTTTTGTCATTTTAATTAGTTATCGGTATAGAAATTTCTATGTGAAGGCCGTCGGAAAATAATAATTATGTTACTGGTAAAACATTTCTCCTCGTATAGAAATTTCTATACTGATAAAGTCAAAAATAAAAATTGAAACGCTTCATAGAAATTTCTATATATATGGGTGCATATTTAAATTATGTTTGCTGGTATAGAAATTTCTATAAGGATAGAGTAGAAAAATAAAAATCGAATCGCTGTATAGAAATTTCTATGTGGCCCAGAAAAATTATTTTCCTAGATTGCCTGCTGTATAGAAATTTCTATATGGTCAAAAATATAAATTGAATGCCTATATAGAGATTTCTATGCGGGTGTAGTCGAAAACCTTTGGTGCTCAAAAATTAAGTTTGTCCGTATAGAAATTGCTATATGGATAAATTCAAAAAATTAAAATCGAATAATTATATAAAGAATGTTTGTAATTAGTCTTAAATTTTCGGCCTATTGTAATACTATTTGAAATAGTATATTAGAAAATATTTGGAGGTATAGCCAATGCAGTCAAATTACATCACAGCCAGAAAAATTATTGATTTACATGGTTTTTTGTCGCTGAAAGTTATGAAAATTAAAAATAAAACATTGAGTGGCTCTGGCACATGGGGAAAAGGTTTAAGGATTTAAGCCCTTGACTGAGTGCAATGTGGAATGATCATTCTTTGAAGATGTTGGTTATTACAAAATGCATTGAGTCTCGGGCTTAAATTCTTTTCACACATTGCAAAATATTTTTACCATGTCACCTAAAAGATACGAAATCACTAAAATGACATATATTAAATGAAACTTTTTGCAAGGGTCAAGTTGGCAAACCACCAATTTTTATCTGTTGAGTGAACTTGTCACCTTTGCAACCACCTAAGGAATGACCTTGGATGCGTTATTGGTTATTTCACGCACAATGCGTTAAGTGAAATACTGTGTTCGGATTGGCTGAAATCGGACACACCTTGTCTAGCTATGTGTGAATTCCAAACTAATGGAGGGTAGTGTAGGCATAGTGTAATTTGACAAACTTAGTCTAGCCAATCAAAACACAGTATTTCATATAACTGCATTACATTCTATAACCAACAACTCTCCAGATCATCCTGTCATTTCGTACAACAATGCAAACGTAATGATAAAATCAACTTGATTCTAATTACATTTCAAAAGTTTGCCAGAGACTATACTCATTAATGTTGAGAGATAATATGGGTCACATTTGCTTCGATTTCCATTACTATACGATGAGTATGTTGATCTTATGGGACAACTCGCGTATACTGAACATGTAGATATAAACTTTCCACAATCGCCATATATCAGCATATGATCTGAACAATTACAGGTACCGTAGTCTGGTATAAGTGTAATCATTTTTTAACAAACTACTCAATCGGCCGGGCGCGGGGACGAGCTTCCTCGTCAAATTCCTATCCCTTTGGGCAATATAGTGTATCAAATTCATTTACAAACATTTCAAGTTGTTATCGTACCGCAATAAAACAATCAAGATCATTTTTAATTTACATATTGTGGTTAAAAGCAAATATGGCCTTACTTCCCGTACTCAATCTACACCTGATTCTAATTTAAATGTTGCGAGATGACTTGCATGGCCTACACGCTCTATTTTAGTTTTACTATTGCCATTAGAGATGTCATGATCTTACTTTTAGATTTTAGTTTACTTTTTGAGCTTTTATATCATCCATTTTCTCGTCCTTCGAACGTCGTCCAAAATAGTTCTCTGTATATCATTTTAAGATGTTAGAGCAAACATTTCAGGACTTATGGGACAACCCTCGTATTCTGTACATGTAGATATAAACGTTCCACAATCGCCCATCATGATGATAAACCATGGCATCTCATTTCTTCTCAGCCCTGAGAAAGGTGAAACCGAAAGATGCTATGAGTATCAGAATGCAATCGCCATATGATCTGAACAATTCCAGGTACCGTAGTCTGTTATAAGTGTTAGAAGGAAGTTTTCATTTTCCTCTGTTGTGTCATATTCCTCGCCCAATAATCAAACAATATATATTTGTCTTCTTGATATGTAATCGAGAGTACCATGTGTGTACCCTCTGGCGTGGTATTTAGATATTCCAAGATGAGCGTTTGTGTTTTCATCGAAGATATCTTTTGACTGAAACATTAATGAACGGAAGCTATAAAATAATGTATAAAAAGTTCAGGATTTCCATTGCGAAGACAGAATGATGTACTGTTTCGTTTTAAAATACATTTTTATAAAATCTGTTATAAAATACATGTATATCATAACCCAGCTTATTATTGTATAATGTGTTTTTATTAAAAACCTACCTCGTATGCTCATGGTTTGAGTTTACACCGGTCGACCAGTCAATCCCCCACACAGCAACCGACAATTAACATTATTAATCGCAGTGATATATCTCACCTTTCGTTTCACATTCGCATTTGACTCTAAATGACAACTCGTAATGGGCACTGGTATTTTGAATTCTTACGCCATTTTATGCAAATCGCTTATTGTGCAACGATTAAAATGCTTTGATAGTACATTACGTTTGTTGTTCTTAAATTCCAAGTTGGTTATAATTACTGCATATTCAGGATATAAACTTGAACTAACTGCTGACCTGTGGACGTTATGCGCAGTATTACAAATTACAATGATCGGTCAACTGGTCAAGTAGGAGTCTGTTTGGTAAACTCAGGCTTGCGGTTTGTTAACATACAATGTTACGCATCTCTTCAGATTGAAATTGACACAATAGCCCACAAGATAGAAAAGCACAATTCAATATTGTATGATTTATGTATAAGGAGCTCCTCCCTTTATCTTTCCGGATTCACTCAACCTAGAAATGTATTAAATGTATAAATGTACAAATATCTGCCTTAAGGCATGATTTAATGTAATTTGGGAGATTCAATGGTTTTATCAGTTGACTTCATGCACATGCATTGTAAGCCCCTGAGACCTTTACATTAAAACCTTGTGTATATGCCACGGTAAGATCATTCATATGTCAGGGTAAAAAAAAGATAATTTAGTCAAGAGTCATCCTTCTCGGATCAATACCTCAACAAGTCAATAAAGGATGATAAAAGTGCAGGCCTAAAATATTTTAAGGGTCACGATAAGTAGGCCATTTGGGCTAATAATGGCCTGCTTTGTCATTAACCGGCCTCTTAATTTTCAAGCAACTAAACATTTGGAGTATAGGGGTCTAGACTTTTTCGTACGATTTTTATCAAAGTAGAGCAAACCCCATCACATTGCCAAAAGCTGGCTTCCCCCTCAATAAACTCATGTTTTCGTGCCTGTGTCCAATACTAATTTATACAAAAACATTATATTATAAACAGCTGGAAACTTTATATCATTACTCACAATATTATTCGTCAGTCCAATGTTGATTGGCATTGGTACAGCATATAGAAAATAGTTAAATAACAATGGCAAGAATATTGTAACGATGATCTCAAAACTAAAAATAAACTACATATTATAGAGGACTTAAAATATTAGGTATACGCAATAGTTAAACCGTACATGGTGTTGCAATGCGTAAATGTATCTTTTGTTATGAAATCTACCTGAAATACACTTGTCATTCTTAACCCATTAAAATCAAACAGAATATCTCAATGATCAAATAAGATACACACGCGGTCCTAACTTCGACCGTTAATTTGAATTTTTGTCCTACCGGATGTTTGAAAATCAAGGATTACGAGTCTCATACTGCACCGTTTTCTTCAAACTTGTTCCATTCAAAGCATAACACAAATCCCTTTCTGATGGTACATCATTCTCTTCAACAGAGTCCCTACTTCCAGCGGCATTTTGGTCCCCAGTTGTAAGAAGGCCTTCTAACAGCTGGGGACCAAAACGCTGCTAGAACGAGGGACTCTTTACAATAAAGTAATGCACCGACAGAAAGGCAATTTTGTTCTGCTTTTAATGGTAAAGGTTTGAAGAAAAACGGTGCAGTATGAGACTCGCAATCCTTGATTTTCAAATTAACGGTCGAAGATAGACCGCGTGATACAGTCACGACAAAAACTGAGCAACTTATATACGAGTACATGTTTTATCTTGTGGATTAAAGTGGTGAGGTCAATTGAAATAAATAGAGAAGCGCATTGGCACAATATACACTTCTACAGATTTAAATCAGACATCAAGGAAAGGGTTCCAAAATTTGAACCAGACTTATAATATAGTGAGCATTATATACCTGAGACCTGATTCATCGTTTCAAAGTGGTAAAATGCTACCGTATACGCAAGGGAGGAGACCATATTTACTCGATTGGGAATCACGAGAACATACAAAGAAAACGTTTAGAAGGAAACGCGAAACTTAAAGGTACGATTTAAGTAGTATTATGATGTCGAAATTGATCAAATAAGACACACCATAAACACATTAAGGATACCTTATGCTAATAGCCTATGCATGTACGTTTGGGACTGATACATAATGTATATTTTTGTTTTCTAGCCACGTATGTAGCGATCCAGTGCAGCGATACGCTTGTCCATAAAGAGTGTATTTTGAAGCACGTTGTCAAGTTATTTGAAGAGTTATACAAGAAGCAAGTTCGTTGTTTTGCTAACAATATGATGAATTGATTCTGGTGGAAGATATACTTGTAAGTTAAACTTATTTAAATAGTTGCACATATCTTTAAGAATAATATTATTGTGATATTCCCATTCTAACTTGAGCTAAAAATAAGAAGGCGTATTCCTAATTCACACGTGTGGCATCTGGGAATACATCATACAATAATAATTTAAAGATGAATGGGTACCTCAGTGGAATTGAATAATTATAAAACCGTTCACGCGTGTATCTCCTTCACATATGCCTAAAGTTGCTTCTTCAGAAAATATAGCTTACAAGGGTCGATCCAAAAGTTTTGCATCGTGTGCTCTAAAAATCTTAATACTTTATGAGTATTTTTCATATCTTATCTCATCCACCCCATATGTAGTAGTTTCATTCTGCGTAAAATAAGCAATACATTTGATCAGTAACATAGTTTTCTGAAAATGAAATAGCGCTTTAGTTGCTGAAATTACCAATACGGTTTAATTCATTCAAGCTCCACATACCCTGTTGTTGTGATGTATTACTATGGGAACTAGATGCATATGTTGAATTTTGAATTCATGGTTTATCTATACACAAAATGAAGCTACAATGCAGAGGGCGATTAAGGCAAAATATGTATATTATTCGTCAAAGATAAAGATTTTAGAGCAAACGGTGGAGACCTTTTGGATCAATCCTCGTACACCAATCTTTGAATTTGAACCTGATGTGATATGTCATAAGTACAAGCGGATAACATAAGCAATTTGCATTGATACATCTGAGACAGTCACGAGGTGGTGTTAATTTCACAGTTTGAAATGCTATATCTTGTAATCCCACTCTGTATGTTAATAGGATTTTAAAGACCCAGATAAAGCCACTTGTTGTAGTCGTACACAATGATATCAATATTTGATATGGAAAACTTCTTTTGAAGGGACTTTTTGTTCGAAACATTCTCAACTAATTTCGAATGATTTTGTTGTCAGTTGTCAAACACATTAAATAAGCAGTGATGATATAAATCCCATCGATTGCAAGCATACTGTATATATATACATGTATACTGATCTATTTTATGTTGGAAAATTATAACAATTGTTTGGGGAACGAAAGAGAAATGAACTCACAAACGCAGGAAAGTGGTTCAGAAAAAGAGACACATACATTTAAAAATACAACATTACAATCAGCGACGGCTTTGCGAATGATGTTGACCCTTGAATTGCCTATGAGCAGAAAAGATTTTGAATTTAAATATATTTTTTGACACAAAAGGATGAAACTAAAGGTTGACACTATTAGAAAAAATGAAACCAGTAAGATAATAGTAAAATAGAATGGTAGATTAGTGAAATTGTCATTTTGAAGTATATCATCTAATTTGTCATGTTTTGTTAATATTTTGTATGTACAGTTGTAGATAAATATAAAGCTTTCTCATGGAGAAAAGTTTCCATGATTAAAATGAATACTTCAATTCAGAAATTATAAATCTATCCTCAAGTGTGGTAATTTTCCAAATATTACACAGTATGTAGATTGTATGATTAACAAGTTCAATGGTGTCATCACATGCAATATAATGTGTCGCATACGCAAGCAGTGAGTTATGTTCAAACATGGGCTTTCAATTAGTTGAAAGCCCATGGTTCAAACAAATACAAAAGTATTAACATCAATCATGTATTTAAAGAATTTTTAAGACCAAGCTTGATACTTTATGGATGGGCTAATGGAACCATCTTGGTATCAAATTATGCTCGATTGAAAGAAACTTATTCGCTTTTCCTACCCCAATCGAATGATTTTTGATTTAGAGAATGCCATTCGCTTTATCCACCTTTTAATAATGTCTGAATGATGAAACTGACCGTATTTGTCTACCTTAAGGGGTACCCCTTAATGGCATTGGTGTTTGTTTAGCTATGTAATTCTACTAGAGAAGAATTGACTTTGCTTCCAGGCAGAAAAGAGATAAAAAGAGATGGAGTCATTGCAGCCTCATTCGCCACTTGAGTAGATCAACCGTTGCGTAATATAGACAGGTAAACAGGGCCGACAATCTGTGTGAATAATTAAGTGAACTATTGTCTTGCCCTATTCCATGACATTCCAAGAATTGGCAAGAGAATCGAGTAACCACTGGATTTATCCTACAAGTCTTGTACTTCATACCTGATACCTATTGTGTGCTGTAAACAGGCAGAGTCATTTAAAACTCAGATCTCTTTCTAACAAGAAGCTGCCATCAATTATGTAAAGATATATGCAGAGGGTGCGTGGTTATATAATTCATTCGAACATGACTGTATTCACGCCTTCTATAAACTGTAAACAAAGTCAACATTTCACCCGGGGTATATTCGCGAACAAAATCCCTGGTAATACGTGCAATGTGTGACGTCATAACGGCGGGACGTAGTAATGGCGGTTTATAATGAATATTAAAGATTACTGATAGACAGTTACTCTGGCATAGCCGAAAAGAGCACACATTCCAACGTCCATATTGTTCACCAGGAGCCGTCACCGTGAACAAAAAACATTGTGAGGAAAATTATGAAGTAAACATGTTGCATACGTTTTTGTGCATGTGTGGTTGATACCACATTTTATCATATATTTAAATGAATAAGTGAATTAAAATGTACTACACCCGCATAGAAATTTCTATACAGGATTTTTATATCTATACATGCATTTTTTGACCATGCTGTATAGAACTTTCTATACTGGCCATCAAGCAAAATTATTTTTCTGCGCCGCATAGAAATTTCTATACAGCATTTTTATTTATCGATCTTTTCCCTATAGAAATTTCTATACCGGCAACCAAAATATATATTTACACCTGCATAGAAATTTCTATACGAACACTTGTTTTAATTAGAAAGGCATAGAAATTTCTATACGGGGAGAAATGTTTTTCTGGTAACAGAATTAGTATTTTCCGACGGCCTTCACATAGAAATTTCTATAGAGGTATTCAGTTTTAAATCTTCTGCTTAATCGGTAGAGAAATTTCTATACCGATAACCAAATGTTCATCAATAACAAAATTAATATTTCCAGCCCCATCCGCATAGAAATTTCTATAGGAAAAGTCAACGGAGTCTTTTGTATAGAAATTTCTATCTGAGGATAGTGTATTTGAAAATATAGTTTGAAGTTACATAGAAAATTCTATACAATCAGAAGAAACACAATTTTACTAGACATTAACATGAATATGTATTGATAAAATGATTTTACCTTTATCTGGTTTGATGAAATATTCATATACTTTGTATAAATATTGTAAATCTAATATGATAATAAAACATTGACGGTTGAAATACATGAAATGCACTGCTGTTTTTACGTTTTTGGGTTTACAAAAAGGGACTAAACGGTTCATTCTCTTTTTAAATGGTCACGACTTCTGCGCTATCTACAGTAGAGGTGATACTCGCTATCACTAATGCTATCAAACTCTTTGCCCCGATCACTCGACGTACATCTATCTTCATGATTACGATCTTGCTAAAATAAAGACATTTTGTTTCGAGAACACCACAAAATAGAGGTCGCAACCAAAGTACACGTAAAAACGTGAACACCCGTATTTCACAATGGGATTCAAAACAAAAAGTATGTATAATCTAACCGATGTAATATCAATGTAAAAAAGATGTAGGTATTAAACCCACTGTTCAGAAACAAATGGCAGATATACTTAATTTAAAAACATCAAAAAAATAATAAGTGAGATGGTTGAAAAAACATACGTACTAATGCATTTTTCTATTTAGTGAGTTTATATTTTTATGCAAAATCGAGTCGTTTCTAAATCGACATGGGTTTACACAAAACAGTCGTTTGTTTCGTGGATTACAATCTGAAAACTTACGTGTGCCTTTTCGCTGATGGTCCAATTAGGCAACATTGCAAAATCGCTGCCACAGGAGCATACCTATGTAATGCAATACTATCCAATTAAAGTTAACACTCTATACACAAAGCCGTGTGTCTTCAATTAAATAGTTCTAAACTGTTCAACAGATGGATTTGATAGATATATAGACAATGAAAAAGCCATGTACCATCAATTTAAAAAAAATAAAGTCTCCTTTACACCGTACCTTTCAGTCATCCAACTTTTCCCCAAAAGGTTGTTCTTATCTTTGATCAGGCCTTGGATCTGTTACCGAACTATGGACTAAAGTTCGATATATAACTCTGAGTTCTTTAAATAGAATAATATATCAAAACGGATTAATGCCCAAATCACCTTACAGCCAGCTACCCATTGTAATTTGTAAATATATTTGGGATTTAAGTCCATGGTAATCCGTTACCCCTTTCTGAATTGCTATTCAATCACGGGGGATAAGCAAAACGAGGGCGAAGCCACGGACTGCAACTCGCGTAACTTTACACCGCAGCCCAGCGCCAAAATGGAGGGACATCCGGCAGTGCCTTCTGCTTCTTCCGACGAAATAGAGAAATCCATGTATTTTAAATGCTATCGTAGTGTCTAATCGGTGACCAAGATATTACTCTGTATCTACTGTTGGTCTGTAGATAAGAAAATAAGCAGTTGTCCAGATCAAGCTAAAACAGTAGCAAAGTTCTGATTTTACCTGTAAAATATGTGCATATTATTTAATTTACTATACATTTGAAAGGAGTTTTAACACGTTTCTGATATCTAAGGGTTAGTTGAGGCTCCGAGTATAATTCGTGAAAATGATTTGATGTTCATGAGGATCGAAAATTAGATTCAAACTGCGCATTCATAGTGGACGCAGTCCAGTAAACAAAGCTATTTCAACAACGCAACACAGCCTCCATTGATATTCTAAGTAACGCAGTCCAGCCGCGAACACGAAATAAATAAGATAGTGTAAACTATATTCCTACGCTATTATTGTTTCAGGAAAAGAAAGTCAGCATCCAGATTATCATTCAAAGTTACGTTGATTAACATATATATATTACCTGAATCAATGTCCCAAATTGCTATATTGTATCGTTTAAGACCTAGAAATATGGCAATTCAATAGCGTATTTGGCAGAACAGTCGAGCGCAAGATGACAACGTAATATGTTTATTACAAACCAATTTGTGGATAGGGTTAAATATATAGATAATTGGATAGTGGTGAGGCTTTTTATAAGAAGTAGAAATGCGAAACAATGAACTTTTTGATGATGCCATAAAAGCTGTTGGGGAAGGGTACATTAACTAGTATTTAAGATATCAGGAAAATATCAAATAATTGGAGAGTTGTAATTTTGGATGATCTTTCCAACAGTCCATCAATATTGCTAGCTACCATAAATTCATGATTTCAGCTGTGTTTGACAGCTTGTATATATTTGCAGAATGGATTGAGACACGATGTAGGTCTATTAAAATAGCCCTTTATATTCAATTTTGTCCAAAGTTGCTCCATTTCGGCCACACCTGTACACACATTGTGCTATCTACCTTTGGCTGTGATTGCGTTCAGCTTCAGATATAAATCAAAACTGAGTCGCGGACTGCGTTGGGCAGATGGATGGACTGCGACTATTATAAATTCCAATTTTCTATGTAATTGTACGCTTTCCGCTTACCAAATATCACACGAAGATGTAATTGTAACAACAGAACATGAATAATTATATTAATTCGATGTCATTTCTGATTCCTTTGTTTAAATCGGTATATTAGGGACAAATATTGACAAAATTACATTTTTTGTGGCAGATTTCGAATTCATTTGTGTTCATGCTAAACTATTGGCCAGCCGAGCACCAAGAATGCCATTGCAGATGGAGTATGAATATGTTGATCACCGACTGGAACATACTAGCTATTCTGTAGAATATCCAAACCAATAATCTACCCCAAATCCTAACATGCCTTCCAAATTAAGTTTGGACTTACCGCCATTGTTCAGCTATAATGCGTTGTAACCTCGTTTTGAATTACGCGAGTCGCAGTCCGTGGCTTCGCCCTCGTTTTGCTTATCCCCGTGTCAATGTCATATAAAAGATTAATCGTTAATCTCGTCATTTTATGAAACTATATGATTTCTAATATAAGGTCATGTTACCATAATATTGCATTTACAATACAAAACACGTATAAATATTGCATCTCGGGTCTTTAGCTAGGTACGTTTTTCGGAGAACCTTTATATACTAAAATGCGACAGTCACGAGTCTGGCTAAAGCGAGGGGTTTCTCACTCGATTATTTGAGCTCTTGGATGCACATATATCAGGCCCCATAGACTTCTAACAACGCAAACATCAGTTCTGAGATCGCCAACTACGTTCCTTGCGCTTGAACCACGATTCTCATGTCGCGACGAGAAATCTTTAGTCGCACACCACCATTTCCTCGATCCCGAACATATTTCTCCACTCGCGAACAGAGATCCGTGCTCGTAATAGTGTATCCGGGTATCTGGGATTCCAATTGCAAGCAACAACAGGAGTCTGCTTGCAGTTTACATTGACTCTCATACCACACTACCCTTCCACGTGACCACGTTTAAAAGGGAAACAGGGTACAGTTAAGTTCCAAATGGAGGACGTGGGTTTAGTTCCATATTTCTGAACGTAAGATACATTTTACATTTATTTTTAGTGTTCTACCAGACATAAAATAGATTCATCAAGCAGTTTGTAGAGTACGTGTATTGTTGGAAAAAAACAGATAGGCAAAGATAGAGAATAGTGGGCGCATTGAAGCAAAACTCGAAAGCAGTACAAGGTACATTTCAGTAAATCTATTGACGTACAGGGAGCGTATAAGTTTCACTTCGAAAATGTTACTTATTTTGACCATGGGCTTTCAACTAGACTCTAATTGAAAGTCCATGTTTTGAGATTGATATGTAACAAAAAAAAGTTAACTGTTATTTAAACTGCGTGTCATTGTGTTATATGTAAATACATTTTCTAGTATGTTATTCAACTGTATTTTTGTGAACTAATTGTTTTTCTAAAATCTAAAGATGAATGAAAGTCGTCCCAGAAATGTATCTTAACTTTGCCGTTAGGCAGGACATAATTGTGAAACATTTTTCCTCTTGTCACAAAGAGAATAATGTTTGTTTTGAGGTGTCTGGTGGTGAGCGTTTCATGATTAAATGCATATGTCATATAAGACTACATTGATCTGGTAATAGTTTTCAGAGTTAAAAGTATGGGTTGAGCATAGTTGTAGTATTATGAATCCACTTCCTACAAATACATTAATTGTACAGCATTTTACATTGTACGCCCTTTGTCTGCATTCGTGCATCAATGTACTCAAATGAAACGTATCATTCCTTCTATTATTCATTATATTCTGGTTTTTGAATGTCAAATACAGCTCTACGTAACACTGGATTAGGATACCAAGCGCATAAGAAATAATGATTGGCACATGAACGTTGTTATTTTACTGGTCTGAAAATAAAGATTAGATCAATTACATTTAGTTGTTCAAAAATATACTATCACACTGTTTTGTTCAATATTGTATTCAATTTTGAACAAAATACTCAATCGGCCGGGCGCCGTAGTGAAACTCAGAGCTAATGTGACCAAGGCATAATAGTCCATGGTATGACTTCCGTATTTGAAGGATCCGTAGCATACTTTAGCGCAGCAACATTTGAAGCAATATTTATGGAGGTGCATATGTCTTGATTCTTTTAAAATACCATTTAGTGAAAAACCTCCGGCTTTCGGGTCGAAAAATGTCTTTCATCAGAAGGGGTCAAAAAACTAAAATATTTTGATTCGAACTTAATCAGAGCAAATGTGACCAAGGCATAATAGTCCATGGTATGACTTCCGTATTTGAAGGATCCGTAGCATACTATAGCGCAGCAACATTTGAAGCAATATTTATGGAGGTGCATATGTCTTGATTCTTTTAAAATACCATTTGGTGAAAAAACCTCCGGCTTTCGGGTCGAAAAATGTCTTTCATCAGGAGGGGTCAAAAAACGAAAATATTTTGATTCGAACTTTTATACAATTTATAAATCACAGACCGTTATTCTAAGCACAAGAACTATACTATAATTTTACTGTAGATGACGGTGTTTAATTAGTGTAATTACGCAAATGTGTTTTTCAGATTTTGTTTGATTTTTCAAATATGATCCAAGCAGATTCAACAAAATTGTGTGGAATATTTAGGTAATTTATGATTGGGATTGTTAGTTTTCTTACCATTTAAAACACTTAATTGCCAGATGTTTTCCATTAGTCGGGTTTGAACAAGAGATAGTTCACAGAATATTTCAAAAATTTATAGAAGCAATCTTTAGGTGGTTTTCAAAACTTCATACCATCCTTTTGAGAACCTGAAGTGGCACCAAGCAATCCATTGACTGTTTCACCAAAAATCCAAGATGGCCGCCACAATGTATCGACAAATCACTAAAATTGACTAATTAACTTGTCAAAATCGTTAAATACTGGTCAAACATGACATGCATTTAAAGTCACTAGATTATTTTTGTTTGAAAACTGGAGTCCCACAAGGCTCAACTTTATGTCCCCTACTTTTTTAGTCAAATGACTTTCATTGACCATGGCATTTGTACATTGCAATGTATAGAAATCCATTTTTGTAACATGTGCGTGTTATTTGGATGATACGATACTGTTGTAAACTAATCATATGCCTAAAAGTATATATTGGATATAAATTATTTAATACTACATATTTTTATAGTTTAAACCACAAAATGAACAGGCGCTAGATCGATGATGAATTTTAATATGCTATCTTTTAATGTTAGGGGCTTGGTGAATCAAAATAAACGGGATACGGTTATGAATTGGGTAAAAAGTAAAAACAAAGACATTACCTTTTTACAAGAAACCCACAGTACACACGAAATTGAAAATACATATAATAATAACTGGAAAGGTGATATATATTTTTCACATGGGTCCTCTAAAAGTAGAGGAGTAATGATATTAATAAAAGACTCTCTTGATATTAAGGTCAAACGACACATTTCTGATAAAAATGGGCGGTTTCTTATTTTAGACACTGAGATTCAAAATGAACGCTTTCTTTTGATAAATGTTTATGGGCCAACCATCGAACAAGAAAAACTTCCATTTTGGACTGAATTCGCGCGTAAGATAAACGATGACACTCATTTGATAATAGGCGGCGATTTCAATATCATATTCAGTGCAG